CACCGGATGTGCTGCGGAACCCCAGGCGGCCCCCCCAACACGGTCCACCCACGGCCTCTCAGCGTAGGTCTCCCCCCTCCCTTTCTCTTTGATGCATGGCATTCGTGCAGGAAACGGGGCAACCGTCTCGCTTGGTTCGCAATCGATAGCCGGGCGTGACAAATCCTGATGGATGTTTGCGGGTGGCCATGGGGCGATGGCGGGTGAGCCTAATCAGGTTTCGGGTGCCAACACCCCGCTATCCTGTGCGCGTGTGTACATACATATGTAGCCTTACTTCAAGATTCAAGATCGATGCGTAGGGGTAGATACACCGCTTTCTCAGACAGCGGTCCAGTACTTCGTACTGAAAGTCGATTTCCAAGCGGTGCACAGCCGGCCGTGGGCTGGACGCGCCTGTGCACGATTTATGAAGTACACAGCAGGGTGAGACCTTGATCGGAACCATCTCCAGATGGGAAGAGGCGTGGTGGGTTCGAAACATACCCGGTACTCTATCAAACATAAACGAGTTTCAGGCAGTTCAAGCATAGATCGAACAAGAGTGCGGGATTCTTGCATCACATCGAACCTAATGAAAAAAAAAAAAGCCTCCCCGAAAACTGAGCGTGATGTCATAGGGGCACGTACAAGACAAGTCCTCGTATGTTGCATTTCTTGCATATCAAACAAGAGAACACTGTTACGGAGTACCCGTCGCCAGTTCGTCGGAGTGGTTGACAGCCAGCAAGACCAGTGTTTCTCAACGTAACACTCTGACAGCTGGCCTCAGGCCCCCAGCCTGGCCCAAAGCAGCGTTTGTATCACCCCTGTCGACCACGCTGATTGAGCCACGCAGCGAGGGAAACGCATGACTGTCAAGAAGCTAGGCTTGGAAGCACATACTTCGCTACACCGCCAGTTTGACCATCTACTTTTGTTCTCGCCCACACTCTGGGCGAAAACAAAAAAAAAAAAAAGGGCTGCCAGCTGACAAATAATGGCATGACCCTGGTGAACGTACGAGGGCAGGAGTGTACAGAAGCACCTCTCAGCACTACGAAAAGGGTAAAAGTAACCTACTGCTACTATCTCGGACTCTTCTCCCCCCAACCACTTGACGTACCCCAGATATTACTACCTGGATCGACAAGGCCGCTCTTCCCGCCTGCCGAGAACATAGACGAGGCGACTTCGAGCAAATTAATTTAATCGAGTGGGAACCCGCCCCGCTACTAAAAAGATAACTACTTTGCTGGGTTAAAAAAAAGTCCGACCCGAAGATCGAAGGATTCGGGAAGCAGCGTCATCGCTATATCAAGCGACCTCCAAGAGAGCGGGTCACGTGTATTGACGAAGCTTAATGATGTATATTATAGGCTCTATCCACCCCTTTTTTTTTTTCGCCCCCAACGGTCTGCCTCGTCGTCTCAGGCATGAGTCCGCTATGACGTCTTTGGCTGAGTATCCGTCCACGGCCACCATATTGACGTTCCTGTGCTCCGCAAGTATGTATTGACCGGTAGGGTGACAAATGATACGTGATAGGCGATGGAGCGACATCAAATGCGGGGAAAATTATGAGCGAGGGGATATCCGAAAGGAAGGGGGAATAGCGTCCATATCCGTCGGAGATGAGCTGCAAGGAGCTCCACTACTAGTAGGGTGTATATGCGGAGAAGCGGGCCTAGGTGGGATGGCCTTTGGCGCTTCGGGAATAATTGGAGACGTGATTGAGGGGGGGGGGACCTTCTTGATGAGAAAAGTCACAAGAAGAACAAGAACGGGTATCTTGCTCCAGCATGAAATGTCTGCAGGGCCACCACCGCCCCCTCCCCCCTTTACTGTTATTGCTGGGGCCGGTAGTAGTCGGTCGATGTCCGCGCAGCTCGGCCGCAGCAGCAGACGCGTTTACGCCAACGCCGACGAACGCGGGTGACGACGTCACAGGCTGCAGCAAGGGGGTGGGGGTGCGACCAACTCCGCTCCTCCGAGGCAGTGGGGCCGGTGCCGATTGGGCGGCGACGCGACGCAGGAGCACACACGCGCGCTTAGCTGATTAGCGCGGCAAGGGCAAAAAAATCCAGGGCGGCGTTGAACGCCCGGACACACCAGACAAGAGTAAGTAGAGTTTCTGCAGGACGGCTCCTTGCAGCCGAGGCTCGTGTTGCGATGCCCGACGAAGGATTGCAACGCAGCGCTGGTGACTACTGGTCACTGCGTGTTGGCATTGTTATTGTTGCGTAGTTTACATACGGGGGTACGTCAACGGCCAGTTCCTGAAACGGGTATTGTCTGCCCGTACGGAGTAGCGATTGACAAGACTCGGATCTACCGCCCGGAGTGGCCAACAATGCAACCGGACAGCGGAAACGTGGTAGGGCAGGAGAAGAGCGCGCGGCCCGTTGCATTGAACAGGGCTGGGCTGGATCGCGCTCGCAGAGAAGGTCCTTACAATATCAAAACCAGCCCGTTCATTATCAAATTCGCCGCCTCCTTGACGAGGCAATTGCCGACAGCTGTGTGTCATCGGCCGAAGGACTTGGACAGAAAAAAGATGGCTGGAGCGCCACCATTCCTCCGTTGATTTTCCGCACAGTTGTCAACTGGAAGCTTGAGTAAGCACTAACGGGTAACTAGTTAGTTAACCATTGCAGGCATTCGATTCCTTTGGAGGCAAGGTGCGATCAGCCAGCCATATTGGTAGTATTATTATTACCATAACACTTACCATATCACCATCCTGCGACTTCGTCATAAGCCGTTCGTTTCCCGAACGGAAGGGGGGGAGAAAGCTGCCTTTCCGAGCTTGCCTTGCAATGCTGCACGCGCAATCCTCAACGGTGAAACAGACAACGAAAAATCGAACCATCACCAGCCACACGCATGGACAAATCCTATGCCGCCGGGAAGCCTTGCCGGGATGTGAGTCTTTTACTCCGTATTATTATCTGGACTCCCGTCTTGAGGCCGCGTGCGCTGCCCCCCCGCGCTCTCTTTCCATCCCTGGCGCGCGACGGCCCCGCCCACGTGCCGACGGGACCAACGCTCTGGCGGGCACCGTCGCAGCCGCGCCGCTGAGCTCAGCACGACCAGCAGCCCATCAGACAAACAGGCAGGCAAAGCAGCGTATGGCCAGAAACGACCGGCTGCAGCTCCCCTCAAACCCCCACCTCCAAATCCAGCCCAAGGTCCGCTTCCTGCGGGAACAGAACAACTCCCAGAGAGAGAGAGCAAGCCGTTCGGTTCCCATCCCATCTCCCCCCGGTGTAAGTTACCGAACTAGCTATCCGTGATCGTTCTTCGTCGCGTGGGAGTACGAGGAACACTTGGTTAGACTACTCGTCGGCCCATTGAACGGTACGCTGCCGAGTACGAAGGCGCCCGCCGTACTCCGTACTCTACCCCCACTCTCGTTCTTCTTTTTCTTTCCCCCGCTGGCCGCTGGTATCCCACGCCCGGAAGAGATGGGGTTAGTTATTTTTAAGCGTGGGTGGCTTTTTTTTTTTTTTTCTTTTGTTTTTTGCTCCCTTTTTTGATCACCGAACACGAGCGGTGTTCCGAAAAAAAAAAAAAAGGGAAGAAGGAAAAAATTAAAAATAAACGAAATCAAAAAAGTGAGTAGAGAGAGAGGTTGGACGACCGCCACTTATTGTAGGCACGTTGTCCACAAGGGGAAAAAAAAGGGTAACTAACTATACTTCCCGTACAGAGTTGCATAGCGACATGGGGAACGCTGAAGGAACAATAAAATAAAAAAAAAACGCCTTGCGGGCCTTCTAATTCTTAATTGCCTAACCTTGGTTTGTACTCTTAAATAATCAATCAAATAATAATATACAGTAATAATGGCATCAAAAAAGGATGCCCTGCAGCTTGATGGATTCGAACCCACGGCGGGAAGAGGGCCCCAAAAATAGGAATACGAGGGGGGCACCCACCGACGAGGGGCGGGCGTCGGGCGCGTCCGTGTCTGGGGTGTGTGTATTTTGACCTACAGAGTAGTCGGGCATGTAACTACGTACTTACCGACAAGCTGAGACGAGAGGAGGGGGAAAAAAAAAAAACTTGCTTCTGGGCGGTGAACAGAAATCAGCTCAATCAAGATCCATTGCGGTGTTTAGCAGTTAACTACCTAGTTACTATACAGGTACATCCAGTCACAAGGGACAGCGTAGGTTTGTGTTTTGCCTCCCACTCCAGCCATTCCTTTTTTCTCCCTCTCTTTCTTGTGAGCTTAATATTGCTTGAATTTTACCGGCTAGAGTAAGATTCAAGCCGGGAAAAGAAAAGATGAAAAAAACAGATGGAAGTGGAAAAAAGGATAGTATGGAACAGTATAGTTAAGAATTAAAATCCAGAAAAGAATTTCACTCCTCAAGCGCAAGCCGGAGGGAGGCGCGTGCCTGTTATTCCTGCGCAAAAAGTAAAAAAAAAATAGTATATGCCCGCGCCAGATCCCTTCCTGTATCTGATAAGTTTCCCGTGCTGCAAGTCCAGATAGGCCGTTGCGAAAACAAGATAAAACGAAAGAAGAAAACCCCCTCACATAAAAATATATCTACATCGAAAGTGAAAAAAAAATGAGGTTGTACACGCGAAGCAACAAGTGAGCGTCGGGTGTTCAATCTGACGAGAATAGCTTTTTTTGTCCTGGGAGTCAATAAGCTTCTCGAGAAGGAAAAAATAAAAAAAAATAAAAAAAACTAAAGTAAAATCACGCTCCCAGTAAATGCAGAATTAGATTAGATAAAAATCCCAGAAAAACAATAATGTGCAGGATGGAGAATTAAAAGGACCATAATAGGAGTTTGTAGGTGGGAAGGGTGGGTGGGTGAGGCGAGGCGAGGCGAGGCGATTAAGACCAAGGATCGATGGGAACGGTCGATACGTGTCGTCAAGGATTATGGAGTAACTGTACAAGTTCGGCACGAAACCGGGGGGGTATCACAACCAGAAAAAAAATAAAAAATAAAAAAGGAACAAGTAAAGCACGAAAAAAGCAAGGCCATGCAGTAAATCTACCAGCCTTTGACGTGGTATTCCCATGGGCCGTAGTCGAAGTAGTGATTCCACGAATTGTTCTTCGACACTTCCTTGTCCTTGAGTTGTCGGATCGCGGGAAACCCGGTCGCGCGAATGGCCTGTTGCTGCTGCTGCTGTGGTGCTACTTGCTGCTGAGATTGCTCTTCGGGCTGCGGGCCGGGGTATTCTTGTAGATTGGCCATGTCATGGGCCGTATGTCGGCGTTTGAACGCCACCGCAGGGATCGTCTTCTGCTGCCGCTCCCAGAGCAGATGCCGTCTGAGCGACTCCGTCAGCTCCGTGGCCAGCATGTTCCGTCGAGTGGTGCGGGGCGAGTGTGCCATCGAGTGGCCCGGTACCGATCTCACCACAATCGGTTTGGATCGGGGGACTTCGGGTCCCTTCATGACTAGGGTGCTGCCCTCCTCCTCTACGTCAGAGGACTGGCATTTTGGCGAGGTGATTCGAGATTGTTGGAGAGCAGGCGTCGAGCGAGAGTTGTGACTTCGGCCTTTTCCAGGTACAACGGTGTATTGCGGTTGGTGCATCATCATGGTCAACAGGGAATGCCGAGACACGAGACCTGGTCGAGAATCCACTCGCTGGAAGAGTTGCTTTTCATCAAGGCTCGACCGACCGCTTTCGGTAACAGAGTCTTCCCAGTCCGACTCGTCATCCTCAATGGCACTTTCTGGGATGTCCTCGTCATCGGTTTCGATGGCATCTTCGTCGTCTGTGCTCTCCTTGATGGATTTGATGGTATTTGTTCGTAATGTAACGGTATTTTGTGTTTGTTGTGTTTGCTGTGCTTGGTGTAGTCCGTCAGTCAAAGAGCTGCGGTTTGCCTTGATGGCCATGCGATCCTCGAACGAGCTGTCGTCTCCAGAAGAGCCACCTAGGGTGAACATATTCTTCTTCTTCAGAGGAGACATTTTGGCGCTGTTCATTGGCTTCGAGGTAACGACAGCGGGGTTAAGTTTAGTATGTGAGCGATAAGAAGACGAGATGTGAGAAGGAGAAAAGCCACGAACAATGCTCGACGACTTAACCATATCTGTCGACGATACACTTGTGTCCGAAGCGCAATTCCGGCTGGCAGCACTGTCGTTTGCTTCCAGCGCGGCTGTCGAGCAGGAGTCTGTAGACTGATGAGGTTGGACGGGTCCGGAGGGAGCGGTGGCTTTCGGAGTGGGGGTGGGGGAAACGGCTCGAGGAGTAAAGTCGACGGATTCTTGCTGCGAGGAGCGTTCTGTGGGCGAAGGGGTGGGCAATGCGGCAATGGGCTCCAGGCTCTTCTTCTCCTTGATCGTGTACACCATCTTCTCCAGGCCGATCGAAGTAATATGCCTCTCTCGTCCGCGGCTGATGCTGAGCATCGGGTCCTCGCCCACGATCCTAGGCTTGAAATCCATGTCCTTGGGCGGCGACTTCACGTGGGTCTCGATGCGTTCGGCTTCGTCGGAGGCGGCTGAATCCACGCTGGTCGACAGCTCCGGGATGTCCTTGGAGTCACATCGGAATCTGCCGATTCTGCGCTGGCGGAGTTTAGCTTGGGGAGAGGTGCAAAAGGTTTCCAGGTTCCATAATCTCCAGCTGAGGTTCTCTAACCGTCGTCCTTCTTCCATGTAGTCAGCACATCGGGAGAAGACTGCAGAATAAGTGTTAGCCTCTTCACACATAGGGTGACACGCCGAGCAGGAAATCATATCCGTGCAACACGTGTTGCTGAACAAGGGCACTCACCCATCCACATGCCATGGAGACTCTCAGCACTTCTAGTATCAACCTCATGGATCTTCGCCGGGTCCACAGTTAGGACAGGTGTGTTTAATCGTGACGGCATTGTGATGTATAATGATATTCAGGTGTTCTGCTTGGCTGCAGGTGTGAAGGGGAAAAAATTCTTCTTGCAAAACCACCTGTTGCACTCTTCTCAAGGGGCGAGCAAGCTGTTGTTGTTCCGGCGTCTTGCACCGTTCTGGTGTATGCGTGGGATCCAGCTCCGGTGGGTGTTCCAGTTCCTTCTCAACAAGTGTGCAAGGCAAGAAGATTGCGGGCGGTGACTGAGCGCCGACAGGGTCAGCACAGCATCGATAACGACAGATTTCGGGCTGCAAAGGCGCAAGCGGTGAGGGCGGGAGTCAATGCGGGTGGGCAGAGCTGAATGGCGAGCTTCTCGAGTTGAAGCGGGCAGAGGCGAGGGGGAGGAAGAAGTGGCAGAGGGGGAAGTATGGTGGAGAGCAGCGAGGAGGGGTGGGAGAGAGCGTAGTTTTGTTCCGCAGGGCCGGGAGGGTCCTTTTTTAATGTTCGCCGTGTTTGATTGTGGACTGTCTGGGAGGAGCCGGGGGGGGGGGGGGGGGCGATGGTCTGGAAGTGGAGAGGAAAGGGACCCGTCTCACTGGCGTACTGGCGGTACCCTACGAAGTCTATCTGGGGGCGTCTGTACGGTATGGTGGTACGGCCTGTAACATGCATACCGCCGCCCCGATGCCAGGGCTGGAAAGCCTATTTGAAAAGCCTGGGCCTGGGTTTCAGTACCGCCGCGTATTTCACGCCGTACTGTACCGTACCGGCGCGGCATGCACCGCCAGAAGCGACGTTCCCGGCCAGTGTATGTATGGGACGCTGTATGACTGACTATGCGACGCGCGAACCCTGCCGGGCTGCGCGCAGCTGGACTCTGGCGGTCACGACCCCGGGTGCACTCTCGCACCAGCCGCCGTGCCGCACACCGAGATTCGTCTCTTCTCCTTCCCCAGGGTCATTGAGCGCGCGCGCGCGATATCCCGGGGCGTGGTCACGTTCCCAATAGCACTAGCGTTGCGGGCGCGCACGCTGGCCGGGCGGCGGCGGCGGCGATTGGCTGGGGGGAGGGGCGGTATTTTTTTTTACACCGCCGGTCGGGTCGCAGGCAATAATACCGTTGGTGACCCGTATATCTTACGCAGGCCTCACATGGGTACATCCACGGGCCAGCCACACAAGCCCAACCTTGGTCGCATTACTCGGGGCTACTGCTTGCTGGCTGGGGGTGGCAGGTAGGTAACCGTGTCGTGTGTGGGGGACGTCGAGACCGAACGGGCGGCTGCAAACACGCTCAACAAAGAACTGAGCACGCGCGTGCTGCCAACAAGAGCGGCTGCGGGTAGTATTATTATTACATATAACCAAACCAACCAACTAACTAACTAATTCATGCGCGGCGGATCGCTCGTCACATTCTGCTTCCCCTTTTGGGACGAGGGCCTGTTTTCGGCCGGCTGGCCGCTGGGTCGGGATGCGCAGTCGTGCTCAAAAAGGACGCTGCAAGACGCATATTTTTATTGTTTGTCGCGGTCATCAGGGCTCTTTCGCCGCCGTGCCGTGCGTTTCTTTTTCCTCTCACTTTTCTTTTCTTTTCCTGCTCGTTTCTTTTTTTTTTTTTCTTTCTTTCTCACTCCCTCACTTCCCCGTACGAATGGGAACAGAGGGCGGCGGTCTACCGCAGGGGGCGGTGTCTTGTCTAGAAACGAGCCCCCTCCCCCGCCGCCTCCAAGCTGCCAGACCTGCAAGCCCCCTTCACCGGCTGCCGGGGAATGTGAGCCGGAAGGGGTGGCTGTTCGCTTTGGATCTGCCCTACGACTTGCCCGTCAGGGAGGCCGGTCACTTGATGTGTCTGTGACAGCTCATCAAAAACCCATCACAAACCCGCCCACTGTCATCGGCCGGCTAGCTACCTGTCTGCCCGCCTGGATTGCAGTGCTGACGGCGTCGCAGGTATTATTGTTATTCTCGTCGTTGTTGTTGTTTCTGGCTACTTCCGATCTCTGGCGTGGACTCTGCTGCGGACGTCGTGGCTCACACTACTTGCTCGAGACAGGCAGACAGGCAGACCCCGAGCGAAACAGCCCCCCCCGTCCGCCAGCTCGGCTGCGAGGCCCAATTGGCGCGACCTGTCACTGCTGTCTATCTGACGTCTGGCGTCGACGTGGATGGATGTACCCCCTTCCCTGCCCCGAGGTACCGGCCCCGTGACCGGCGACGGTTGTTCTCGTTGGCCGCGACGCCTGCCTGGCTTGCATGCACGGAGGTGTATGTATCCTGTCAACCCACGGTGGCAAGGGAGATCTGCGATTCGAATGCACATTTATTATTCAAGTAAATCCTAATCCCCCAATACAAGCATACATACATACAGCGTGTAAGGAAAAAAACATAATAAAAAAAAAATAACAAACAAACCATGCAATTTCGCCTCGCCCCCGGGCCAGAAGCCCTCTCAGACAATACGATACGGCGCGGTGTGGAGAGGCCCAGAGCGGAGGGGCGCGATGGAGAGTTTCATCCTCTTGGAGAACTCAATAATAATAATGTCATGTCACTACGCTGTGCTGTCTTAACCATGACAGCAGCAAGCGTGCAACGAACAGTGCTCAGAAAAAGGGCAGCCGAACCCTAATCAGAAACGATGCTTGCCACAAAGCTCCATCGTTCATGGGGATGCAACCACAAAAAAAAGCGCCGACCGCTGGTAGCGCCCCCGTCTTTAGAGTCCCGGATTTTCGCAGCTCTCCGGGAAGTTCTCGTTGTTTTTGCCCCATTGATGTGCTTAATGTTAATTGAAACTAGTGTGTGCAGCTCGCGCGGAAGATTTTTGGCCTGTCGCTGCTCCTGCGCTGGTGGGGAGCGAGCCTAGTTAATTAACTAGTGCAGTTCCGAAAGCCACTGCGTTGGGTTAACTAACTACTGTAACTACGCGGATCAGAGTGCTCGGTGAGAATGTGAACATGGGCCAGCAGAGAGAGAGAGAGAGAGAGAGAGCAGCATGACGCCGCTGTTTGCGGCATGGCTTGCTCCACGGAGGGGGTGGGCTGAGCCAGCGCCCGCGCCTCCTGGGGCCCCAAATGGATCAGGTTTAATTACTACTGCTTGCTGGCTGCTACTACTGATGGGCGCCGGCGTTGGCACATGCGCGATCTTCAGCGGCGTTCCCGCTCGTTAATTAAAAAGGCCGGTGCTGACGCAGGCGCATGAAAAAAGGGGGGAAGGAGATGGATGATATAGCTATTAGACGTACGGAGTAATAGCGATATAATAAGGTTGCGACGCAGGAACCGTCGCCAGCTCCGCCGCAGTCTTTTTGCTCCAGCCGAGGCGCGGCGAAAAGAACAGCACCAGCACCAGCACCAGCATGCCGCGAGCTAGGTAAGCTAGCAAGCCAGAAGAAGAAGAGCTTCGGGGAGCATCCGTCAGACCGGGGCGCCAAAAAAAAAAAAAAAGGCCCGCTTGGCATGGCCACGGGGCGAGGGCCTGGAAGCCCGGCTGCCCCTTTTTTTGGCTTTGCGAGGCGCGCGCGTGTGAAGGGCGGCGGCCTGGTGTGGAATCTGGGGAAACCTGCACGGCGTTCGTGGCCCGGCGAAGCTTCCGAGGAGGAGGAGGAGGAGTAGTGTATACATCTAACAAACTAGTACTCCGTACGGACGGGAGGCATACAGTACATACACGCACAGGTTACCGTCGTGCAGTTGGTGAGAGCGAGTAATGGCCACACGTGAAGTGGTTTTGCGGAGGCGGCGTTTCAGGTGCTGGCTGAGTCTGCCTCGTCAGCAGCAGCAGGTTAATAATATTGGCTAATAATAATAAATACCGAGGGACTCGACTCGCGCACGTTCTGGCGGCCGCTCGCGTGAATGGGCTGCGAGCGAGCGAGTGCCTTGCCGGGTGGCTAGTTAGCAATGTGGTGAGATGTGTAGAGCGAGCGTGCAGCGTCGAACCTCGTCCAGCCGGCTTGTCTTCCCTTTCGGGACTGCCGAGCGCGGCCGGCCATGTGATGCTCGCGCGACCCGACAGCGCGGCGCCCCCCTTGGTGGGCGAGATCTGAACGTGTGGTCTACTCTCGTACTCTGTACCATCAGCTACTACTATCACTCACACTCACTGCATCCTTCGCCGGGCGCAGCAAGGGGCCGGCGTGACGTCGTGGCCCTCCCTGTCCCGGCTGCTTTTTATAGCGGCGCGTAAAACCGCTGACCGCTGCGTTGGCACGCCCGTCTCCCTATCGCAGGCCCCTCTTGCGCAAAGAAGCGGTCGCCCCCCCATCACAGTGCCAATGGGCGTGATACATGCTCACACACCCCCTTCCCTTCCCTTCGCCGTGCTTCCTTTTTGTCGCTTCTTCCGACGAGGGATGCCCCGGGAGGTCCCCACGAGAAAACGAGAAGGAAAAATAAAAAATAATAAAATACGCACCCAAAACCAGATGTCCGGCAGGCGAGAGCAGCTGAGCAGTATTTGGTCATGGAAGAACAACAGCTTGGAAGACAACACGTCCCCCGGTCGAGTGCGGCTCGGACGGGCTTTCGGAACCATAGCCGTAACTAGCAAAGACGACGTTCAGCTCCCCCGGCCGGGCCAGCTCGCTAAGCGGGGATCATGATATCACACCCTCCTCACACTGCCTGGCTCGCACCACCGGACAACAACGACGACGACCACACGAGCGGTTGTTTCTCGGTGTACACCAAGGTAGTTACGTACGTACGGTCCATACATACATGACTATACCAAAAGACAAACGACCACACCCTCCGGCTGCCATGTGTTGTCCCCCGCCCCTCCGGGATCAGCCTCCGCGGCGCCCCCCCTTTCGCCTGGCGTGCCTTATTCAGGCCATGTTGATCTCGTCAAGAGGGAGGGGGGAAACACAGGGGAGAAGAGCCTTAAAACAGCAACAGGCGTCATGCGTTGCGAAAAATAAAATAAAATAAAACAAAGGGTTACGCAGGATTCGATGGTTCCGATTAGGTTCTCGCTTTTTTTTTTTCCGGAGCAACAGTGGTACAGAGTAGGCTGAAGGGGAGAGCGGAGGGTTGCGGTTGGGAGACAGCGTAGCTGCCTCGGAGCATGGCCGTGCGGTCCTGCTCACCGATATGCAGGCGCGATATCGCCCTTGAGCACGCGACGGGTAGTAAGTAGATGCCGGTGGCCTCGGAGGCTCCCCCATGGCTCGCCGGCACGTGACGGGGTTTGGCCGGCGGCGGTCTGGCTCCGGATGGAATAATGTGGTGGTGATTCAGACCGCCCAGGCTCGCTGCCTGGCGGGCCTTCGTCCTGTGACCCCCCGCGGCAGGGAAACGGCGCCGAGCAAGCGAGCAGGATATCGCAGGCAAGCCAAGGAAGGCCCTGCGCGGCAACGCAACGCGATGCTGGGCTGGTCACGCGGGAGCCGTTAATTTTTTTTGGTCTGGCTTTGGTTGGCTGTCGTTTGTGCATCAAGAAAACCAAAAAAACCTCGCCGACGAAAACAAAATCTGCTAAGATTGTGCCGCGACTGGCTGGCGTTCGACAGGGGGGGTATGTGACGGTGTTTCGTGTTGGATGTTGGGCGGGTGATTTATTGGATTGGATTTGATCATTCCGCTTCGGCGCATCTGAAACGGGAGCAACACAGTCTCACTGTGCTGCTTTTTGCGCGCGTGCACGCTCTCTAACTAATGCAGCCAGAGCGTTGTGTAAAGAAACTCTGTCCCCGGATTTCTCCCAGCCAGCACGGGGCCGCCGAACGGCCACGCAACAAACAGGCCTGCATGCGACCTGCGTTTCCCCCTCCGCTTTGTATGCTGCATACATACATATGCACGTATGATGGAACTGTGCTCTCTCTGCACCCTGATCGCCCCGGACCCCCGCCGCCGCCACCGCCGCTGCTGCAGCATGATCACTTTTCTCAGCCTCCACCCGAGCAGGCCCATCATCCATCGTCATCATCATCATCATCATCATCATCACCATCCATGGAACACCGAACAAAAAGGACGCGCTTCCATAGGGTAGCGAGAGCCTCACCTGACTCCTAGCTGGCTGGTCGCCACGGGCTGTGCTGTTGGTTGCTTCCCGGATCTTTTTTGTTTTTTTTTTTTGCTACGCTTCTCGCGGATATCTGAGTCCGTCCGGTGCTGTGTTTGTTTCTTTGTCGTTCTGCTCGACTCCGAAGAGTCGGGATTTCCCAGCCTGGGAGTCACGTATGGCGCAGAGCATACTTACTGTACATACCGTACGCCGCAGCGTATCTTACGAGCCATTGCATTCCAATTCCAATTCTTTCTTTCGTTAGAAGAGAATAATACCGAAAATACGTCGCCGCATTCGTGACTGTTCTGCTGCCCGTTGGCTGGAACGCGAGTCATAATTCCGTTTTGTCTTTCTTTGTTTGCTAGTTGGTTATTTTCCCCTATAGCAACGCCACAACACTATTTTCCCCCGTCGCCTCCCCTCTCTCCCCCCCTCCCCCATCTTTCGAGCCCTACGAAAAGAAACCGTTGAAGCTCGGTCGCACAAGATGCACTGCCTGCGGCTGCATGTTACCGGCGGATCTGGCGCTCAATGAATAAAGATGAAAACTCTATCTCACCTGGTCCTCAAAGAAATGGCATGGCTTGACTAGTCAAGCTTTGATCCCCTTTGCAGCCTGCTTGAATCTGATGATGGATGCCCAAACGGCGTTGAGACATTTTCGAAACATCTTGCTGATCGTGTTGTTTGCTCCCCACGCGCTGACCCGGCGGCGCGTGTGGGTGGGAGTTAGGTGTTATTCTTTTCCGCTCGCAAACGAGCATCTTGATAAATTACACACACGCGGACGGCAAAAGAATCATAGACAGCGTTTTCATCGCCACAATGAATATGAAAAAAATCTGACTACTTTCCGTCTTTGAATTGGCCTTGCGCGGTTACCAGCAGCCTGGGAACGCTGCGCGCGCTGGAGAATGCGGAATATTTTCGTATCTGTCCGCCGCGGTGGGTTTTCGATGATCGATCGCCCTTTGCTAGTTACAGCACCATACTGGGGATAGTCCCCGTCGTTTTTTTGGCCTTAAGACACTCAAAATTAAGGAGCGTGCCTGCATTCTTTGCAGCGCCTGTTTGGGAAGGTGGTTGTTTGCCATATTTTAAACCTTCTACTCCGTACCGCCCGTGCCGTCCAGTCCAGGCACAAATACTACTACCACAACAGCCACTGTTTATGCACCTTCTTTGCCCCCTTAGTATGCTCCACTCGGTGGCTGATTCTAACTAAATGACTCTGGATCTTCTCTTCCGTCCGTATGTCGCTGGAGCTGTCAATATTATTAATATTCTTAATTAATAATATGCTGACGCTGTACTATATCGTTCCCTAAATAGAATCACCCCTGTTATCTAATCCCATTTCACTTTTTACAGTTTGGAGGCTAAAGGAACGAAATGCTACCGCATTTTAAGACCTTGGAGCTCTTTGAACTACCCCTTAGCGTTTTTGGAGCCAAGGAGTGCGTGACTATACGACATCCTAGGAAGCAAATGTCCCAAAAACACCTTCCTGCCCAAAGGCCCCTAGGATGACCGGGGCTGTGTCATTGAAGCTGCCCAACGAAGCTCACCGTTGCCTTGCAGCCCCTTGCAGTAGTAACTAGAATTTGCCAATCGCTTGGACGTTGAAACTTGAAGCCTTGAGATGCTTTGGCCCCTCAAGGACCACTGAATTTACCTACTGCAAGGTCCGTTATTACTCTGGCTGTGCTTCAGGCATTTAGATCCGATACAAAAATTATGCATGGTGGTAAATATGGTATACTCCAAGGGACCCACATACGTTTTTACCCCATATATCGTACTCCGTACGGAGTACTATTCTTTCAGTCCTATCTGACGTTCTGTATATCGCAGCATCCCCACCATTGTATAAGGGTCAATCCGAATACTGTCCGCGTTGACTACTATAAACCATTCTTTACGCGAGGTCCACGGAGCATGCTCCGTATATCATCAGGAATGGGAGCTTGGCCTAGCTAAATAATCCCTATCTACGTATTTGCCCTACGTGTGCACCCCATCCGGCTCTTGTTAGAGTTAAGGGTTCTCGGTACTCCGTACGCCAGAACAGGTCCATGCGCGCGGTCCACCGCCCTATCGCAAAAGTGATGAGGTAGATATTATTATTATTTCGCTTGCTAGCGACAGCTGGGCGTGGATGACCTGATGCGAAATCAAGCTTGGTGGGGAGCTGTCTCGTATAATTCCGGCGAATTCAGGTACAGTACTAAAGTGACAGGTATGTATGGATGTTCTTTGTGCCGAGTCCGTACGGAGTTTGTTCAAGGCTAAGTAGGGCTCTGGCCTACGATGGGGCTCGAGGACGTTTATTTTCTATTTTTTTTCCAACCAAGGATGAAGTCATTGAATGACGACTGGCGCTCCTTTCCAGGAGAGTCTATGGGGTACGGAGTACTTTGATTAGGATTCCTCCCTTAAGGCGATACGTCGCAGAGGAGGAACAGGAGGAGGGGAGGAATCTCCCACATAGGTTTCAGATGATGCTTTGATGAGGTCGTCATCGAAAAACGCCCAACGAAATAGGCCTCAGTCACCACACCCTCTCGTCAGCAGAGAGTAAAATAATCGTAGCCACCAAGGCCGCTGGGGTTCATTTGCAAATAATGCTGACGATCCGCCAGGAGCTCCATATTTCTCTCTCTCTCTCTCTCTCTTTTTAGCACCCTCCCGTCACGGTAGCATCAACGGCACAGGAGTGGAGATGACAACCTTTTACCCAAAGCAGCCAACAGCCAGCCACTGACGGCGCCCACCTGGAATTTTGCTCGTCCAAGCCCTCGTTTGCCTGGTAGTTTAGTTGATACGTCCAGCCCTGACCAGGTCCAGACGCAACCAAGCCTGGGAGGGTCAAAGCGCCGGGCCCATTGGCCCGCTCGAAACGAGATGGCTCGGCGCGGCGGACGGGCGTCTATGGTGGTCTCGATAGCGTTCGGGGAAGGCCTCCCTAGCGCGCCGAGTACCAGGGCCACGGGGCTGTTCAGGGGGGGGGCCCGGGGGGGTGGGCTGGAGCTTTTTTCGCTTGTGTTTCGCGTCGGACGCGAGGATGAGGTGGTCTGGTGTGCCTGGACGGACGGGCGTGAGTAGTAGTTAGTGAGGGTGTGCGGGAGACTCGCCTGATAATTAAACAGGCTCTCTGCGAAGGAGGAGATTTGTTATGCGAGATCTCGCTAAGCCGTCTTGGGGAGTCTTTTCCGGCTGCCAGTTCGGGCGCGCCAGAACGCGAGTTCGCGCCGCCCTCCGTAGTTAGTACTATAGTTACCTAGCAAGGTAGTTACCTACTCTGTACGGAGTACGGGGGAGCTGATTGATACACCTGATGCTCTGACGACGTCCTCCAGGCAGACGAGAGCAATATCGCAACGACACGTCCGGGCTCGCGCACCACGACGCGCGACGAGTGACCCGTCATTCCGCCGCGGTTCGGGTGTGAAAACGAGCGATGTGGATAAGTTGCCTGCACCGCCAAGCGCGCTTCCAGAGTCCTCGCCAATCCGAGCCTCGCATCATCTCCAGGCTTCGGCGTCGTTCGCGCTGGCTCGCGGGTCGACGACGGTCGCTGCCTAGCAGCAGCGATGTCTCCCCCGCTGTGCTGCCTACGGGTGCCTAACTTAGCTCTCCAACATCAAGCGTTGCGGCTTGACCTCAGACCATTCAAAAACCGCTTCTCCAGCCCTGCGTTTCTCTTCTGCTATGGGCTTCATTAGTATTTGTCTTGTTCAGGTATAGGTGCATCACTATATCCTTTTCCTCTGTTTCTAATACCCTTATCATTTTTCTCTGTTTAAGTGGCAATGGAGCTTCCACGCCTCGCAGTCCCCTTGGGCGAATTCGTCCCTCATTTGGGAGGACAGAATCGCCGTAATATCCTGGATGGTGACTGCCTGGCTCCTTATAAGGCCTACGAGTCGAAACTGCGTGAGGTTTTTGCACAAGATCCAGGAAACGAGGCTCTCTTAGACCCCCACGTCAATGTTGTTCCCATCTACGCTGGCGACCAGGAACATCTGAAAGTGAAGGCCCGGAACCTGGAACAGGAGTCTACGGAGGAGAGTGAGAAGTATTTGCTCCCTCTGACTTCCACATTCCGTAGGGAAGAGGGATCGTTTGCTGTTGTCCCCTCTCTTAATGAATTCAAGGACAACTTTCGGCTATTCTCTGAATCGTCTCTGGTCGACTTGGACTGGAGCAATGTGGTCGTCGCGGGAAGTGCCGTGACGACTTGCCTCTTGCCTCTTTCTGAGGAGCACAAGTCTTCTCGCAAAGCTCAACGGTATGAGGCGTTTTTAATAGTACTTTATATCAGATTCAGCCTGATAATTCTTTTAGGGAATTTTATCATGAAAAAATTGCTCCGGCTTCCGATGTTGATTTGTTCATCTATGGATTGAACGAAGAACAGGCCATTGAAAAAATTAAACGGATTGAGAAATGTATTAGAGACAGCATCTTGGAAGAGACAACTGTACGATTTTATACCCATGTGAATCTATCATTAAATCTAACAAACTGGACCAGGTCATTCGCACCAAGAATGCTCTGACAATTGCATCAAAGTATCCTACACGTCATGTCCAGATTGTCCTCCGCCTCTACAAGAGTGTGTCGGAAATTCTGACTGGCTTTGACGTCGACTGCTCTTGCACTGCTTTCGATGGCTCTCAAGTATGGGCTAGTCCGCGGGCCCTGGCCTCCTTCGTCACACAGGCCAATACTATTGACCTGACTCGACGGTCCCCGTCATACGAAAACCGTCTTGCTAAATACTCACATCGTGGGTTCGAAGTATACTGGCCACACCTGAATCGTTCGAAGGTTGACCCAACAATCTATGAACGGGCATTCAGTCATGTTGTTGGTCTAGCCCGGATTCTAGTTATGGAGAAGCTTCCTACGGCTGGGGCTAGAGACAGTTATGTTGAGCAGCGCCGTTCCGAGCGTGACAGACCTCCTTCGACAAAAGAAAAATTCTACCGTAACCCTCAAGGAAATCTTAAGGAATACCAACCTGAGGATGTGGCCGAGTGGGTTGAGGAGGAAGATGTTTCGAACTATCATACATTCACTATTCCGTATGGTCCAAAATATACAGCCAAAAAGGTAGATAGGTTTATCACGGTCATTTTTATTCACTTGCTGACTGGGATGAATTGTAGATTGAAAAACTGCTCTATAAAAAAGATCTTTTGCTCAATGCTGAATGGAACAAGTCAAAAGAGCGGACCGTGAATCTCCATAGACACCCTGCATTCTTTGGTGCGGTTGAGCACGTTATCGAGGATTGCTGTGGTTTCTGCCCTAAACCAGTCACTGAAGAGGAGATTGAAGTTGCAGAAGAAGAAAGTAAGAGATTTATCTCTGGAAAAGTTCAGTTTATGAAAGATGACCCGGGTAGACAAGCCATTGGTAGTTTTAACCCTATAACGGATTCTGACTGGACGGAAATGGCATACATTGGGGACACTGCTCGTCTATGTCAGGCAATCGTGGACAACGATGTCGAAGTTGTCAAAGCATGTTGTGCCCAAGAAGGGTTTAATGTTGACCAACGCGACCACACTGGGAGAATGCCTCTACATTTGGCGATCATGTGCAGTACTCCTGAAGTTGTACAATGCCTCATTGACAATGGAGCACGACTTATTGCAAGAGTTGCTGGAGGATATACTTCTCTCCACCTAGCAGCGGCTCGTGGAAACGGTGAGATATTGAAAGCCATCCTTCGTAAAAGCGAGGCGAATAAGGCGGAGCATGCAGAGAAGAACGAAAAGAAACCGGCAACCCCGGCTGCTGGAGAATCTGACAAGGATAACGAAGACGCGGACGAAGACGAGGATGAAAACGAGGACGAGGACGATGACATCTCTGTTGTTCAAAGTGTGAGTGATGAAGCTTACGCTGCAACTCAGGGTTCGATGGTCGTGATCAAGAAGTCTACTCCTGAATATGAAAACCCGCCTGAAGAAGCCGAAGGTGAAGAAGATGATGAACCCAATTTTTACGACAATGTCGATGTTCTTTCCTGGGATACACCTATCAGCGCTCTCCATCTGGCGTTGTTGAACGGACATTCCGACATCGTTCATATCCTTGCGACCGAGTTTGGTGCTAATGTCGCTCAACCCATCGTCTGGAGGAAACCGGCATACTACTCCAAACAGCATGTGACACTATCTATGGCTTTGGCAACTCACCATCCCCTTGATGATTCCAAACGGATGTTGCGCACCCTTTTAGAACTGGGTGCATCTTCGACACAGGCAGATATGAACCATATCACCGCTTTCCATTCCATAGTGATGGAGGGCGAAACAGAGCTGATTGATACTCTATTCGAACTCGATGGACCTGCTGCCCAGCTTGCAATCAATCACCCAGCTGTGGGCGCTGGCTACAGTGCCAACGCTTCACTACCGTTATCATCTGCCGCGAGATCTAGAGGTAGTCCAATGATTAAGAAGCTATTAGAACATGGTGCAAGTTTGTCTGCGTCAAGCGAACGTCTGCGACGATTCTGGGCGCGTCGTGAAAAGAACAATTCAACACCACTAGAAAATCACCTTGCGCCGCCGATCGTCGTCGCAGCACAGTTTGGAAGTCCTGCAGTTATCAAAATCCTGTTGGATGCCGGTTCAGATGTGAACGCGCTTACGCCAGATTCCCACGCCTTGTTGACCAGCAAGTATTCAAATTCGGATAATGGTCAGACTATTCTTGACATAATTAATTCAAGACTGGAGTTTTTGCGAAATCCGGAACGGGACAATAACCTTCGTGGAGAACCGATCACTCCTGAACCCCCTGCACTGGAGCCAGATGAAGTATATCTACAAGGGTTAAAAGAAGGGAGCTATGAGCACAGGTTTGTTCTTACGGAGCTAGATATGGCAAAACATGCGGTGGAGATGATGAAGAAGAAACGCGAGAGGGGACTTGAAAATAATGCTGAAAAGTATAAAAATGATGACGCAAAAGCAAAATGGATTAAAGCTGAGCTGGAAGCTTTGGAAATAATTAAGGAAACATTGATCCAAAAGGATGCCAAAACGTTTCAGGAGTTGCATCCTGACTTTAAGGGGAAATCTAGGCACCGGAACCATAGTCGTCGAGGTGACTCGGAAGAACCTGATACTGAATCAGATAAGAAATTCTCCATTACTTGCTCTTTTCGTGATTACGAGCTTGGACCAGTGGATAATCCTGGCTATATGGAATTGTATGTCCCCTTAGCTGTTGACAGCTTAACCCCTTTTCGATGTTCATCCTTTCCCAGTTTGGCGCCGTTCTTTCTTACTCTTTATTCTAACGGCATTATAGATTCGAAGCTGCTTGGGATGATGATATTGAAAAGCTTAAACGACTTACACTTGGCTCAGGAAGCTCTGATCAAAAAGAAGCGCTTCTCCGAGTGTCTGTTTGTGATAAACGCGGCGTTGACCCTTTTGTGATCGCTCTCGCGCGCGGCCATCTAGAGCTGGCTAAGACCGTCCTTGAAATTGTGGAAGCGCAATATGTTCCAAAGACTGAAGCTCCAGTCCACAAGCAGTACGAAGTTGTGATCGATTCCGAACTGGAGAGTGAATACTCGGATTCCGAAAGCGAATCAGAAACTGAAGATAACCATGGAGTTGGCGTTCGCTTTAATGTTGTTGACGAACAGCATACTATTGATGATGTTAGAGAGTTGGGCAACATCGTCAAATCTTCGACCCCACCAAGACAGCTTGTTGTTGGTTATTGCAACCCGTCTATCTTTGTGGCTCCTTCCGTGAAAGACCTTGCGCCAGGCTATGGTAGGGCACTGAGCTCATATACCTATGGAAAAAAACGGATTACAAGCGTGGTATGTATCTGCGAACGAATTCTATCTTTTTTCATGAAGCTTTTTTGTCGACTAATGTTTGTCCAGGGCTTTTTGGATGATGTGTGCACAGAATGGCGTAAGGGGACAATGGATTTAATATCATTTGCTGTAGAGATGAATGATTTGGCTATTTTGGACTTTATTATTGACCAAACTCTGAAATATCGAAAGCCAGAAGACAAGGAGGAAGAACCCGCATTTCTGTCTGTCGGATATGCTCCATTCAAACTGGCGATGGAACGAGGCTACACCAAGATATTAGGCCACCTTATCGCAAAAACAGGAGTCCAATTTCCCTTCAAGAGTTTGATGAAGAAAGCGGGCATTAAATCGGATTCAAAACCTGACGTATGACAAACCTCCCCTGTCTTTGGGATATATTCTGACAAGTGTTACAGTACTATCAAGGACTCACAGTCTACGGAAGAAAACGAGAAGACTGGGCCGCTGAGAATGGTCATGGGACGTACTCTTCTTCGGAAGTGGAGGAAAGTCTGCTTTTGCACGCCGCATTCAGCGCAAATGTCGAGTCTATTAAATGGGCACTCACCGATGCTCCGGATCAGATGTACAAACAATTTGCGTCTACGTACGCAGATGATAAGCGGCTAATGTCGTTTTCTAACGTTCCTGGAGGGTTTGAAGGAGTCCTCTCGTCTTGGTTGAACACTCGAAGTAAGTGCCTCGACATTTTTAGCTCCGAGAACATGAAGCTCACAATATCATTAGGGGAACTTGCACTTCATTGTGCGGTGCTTAGCAACGCTAAAAAGGAGCAAAGTAGCGCTCATGTTGAATTACTGATCGATAAAATCCCTGATTCTCTAAATGCCAAAAACAAAGATGGCTATACGCCTCTCCATGTTGCTATTATTAAACGAAAAATAATAGCAGCAAAGGCAATTGTTAAGGCTGGGGCAGACCAAATGGCCCGAGATATCGCCGGCCGTAACCTTCTACATTTCATTCTTTGCCCATCGGGGAAGAATACCATTCTTAAGTCAACGAGTTTGTTTGGGGTTTTGTCAGCCATTTTGGACAAGGAAGTGCTCCAATTGCTTGCAGCCCAGCGATCGCACGTCAACAAACAGAAAGACCAGAGAGACTCGTGGGGGATGCAGACGCCTTTGGCCGAATGGCTCACCGGGGCCGACAATTCGCAAGCAGAAATGCTCCAAGTTATGCTGCAGGCCACCGGTGGAAAAGAGTTATACATTCTTGACGGTGAAGGGAACTATCCAATTCACCAAGCTGTTCGAAGAAGATGCACTAGATTGGTTCGCGTTATGCTAGATATGGATCCGAGCCTCGCATTGTTGGAGAATGCCACTGGCGCTACTCCTCTGGAATTATCTGAAAACAAGTATTTCAGTGCCGTTCTCGCATCTCTGAAACAAGGATCCTCCAAAATCTGTGAGGCGGAGCGATCAGAGCTCTGGGATGGAACGCCTTGTGTCTACTCTTCTATTTACAGGAACTGGTATTACCACACAACTGAACCGAAATTTTCGGAGCCTTTCAAAGGAGAGGATGAGGATAGACCTCGATTTTTGTCGAATAATCGTCAGGATGGGAGAATGTACCGCATGCTTCAAGATATCATCGTGAATAACCCACTGAAGAGGAAACTGGTTAGTTTACAGGACGCTAATCAGCTTGTGAAGAGACTGGCCGGGAGGAAATGGAGGAGGGTTGGCGAAGAACGAGGGGAGAATAAGGTAGAGCAGGATGAGGTCAGCAAGCATCTACTAGGTTCGAGTTCAGAGGAAAACTGGGAGGTTGAAGAGATCATAAAGCAAGATAAAAAAGAGGCGATGACACCAGACGAAAGCGATACTGAGGGTAGTGATGGCAGTGAAGCTGAGTATGACAGTGATTATTGAGTGTAATGCGAACGATGCTTTGAGTACGGTTGAAATTGACAATCGTGTGAGTATTTGTTGCGTTGTCGAGAGTCTAGTTTTGATTTGCTCTGTATGTTTTAAGGGGAAGTTTCATTTTTTGAGCAGCTCTTCTAAGCACCAGTTCTCTAATACTGTTCTAATGTATGTACTAATCAAAACCAGCAGCTTAATGCTCCTTTGAAACTGTATCCCCAAATTGAAAGGCTTTTAGTATTCTTGATCATCATCGCCGGCAATAATTACATTGTTCACCTGTGAGTGGCAATTAGCAGAAAGCTCAGCTGGGTAGCATTTCTATATGGGGCTTTGTACCTTCAAAACAAGCCGACATAATTGAGTGGCGAGTAGAAGCTGTGCTCGTTTGCCAATCAATGGATCGATGACGAAATGCTCTCTCATGTCTATAGGGGTCAGCCAATATGTCTGATAGAGGAGGGAGAAGCCCAAAATTTAACCCACCATTGCTTCCGGTCTGCATACAATCAACGCCTAGCCTTGAATTGTTTTCCTTTACATGTCGTGATTTGATGGTTGCAAGGGTTTCGATAGGGCTCCATCCGGAATTCTCAGCTAGAGCCATTGGAACGGCGTCTAACGCATCCGCAAAGGCACGCATGGCATATTGGGCTAGGCCCGGACACTATAAAAAAAGCAATGTCGTTAATATAATGTAAAAATAAGAGTAAGTATTCGCCTCACCTGATCAGCGGCGTCCTGTACCGCAAGTGAGCAAGCAATTTCAGCGGCACCACCTCCATATACGACACGATTATCTCGAACCAAATTCCTGACAACACACAAAGCATCGTGTAGAGACCGTTTTGCTTCATCAATAATCTGATTATGAAATTAGATTGGAGCAAAGTATCGTTTCTGAAAAGGGTGCCGTACCATCTTATTGCTTCCCCTAACAAATACGGTTACTGCTCTGCTGTTTGCACATTCTTCAATAACCAGCATCTTTTCTCTGGTAGTACCGAATGTCATTTCCCTCACTAAGCCAGCAGTTCCTAGCTTCTCTGGGCTTAGATCTTCAAAGCGTGGGACAATTCTACCATTTGTAGCAATGGCAATTAGCTCAATTTCAGGTCCACCAACCCATCGGACGGCGGGTAGTCGATTTTGAAGGAGAAGGTGATTTGCTTCGTCGTCAAATCCCCACTGGCATATTACGAGATTTGCTCCAGTGTCCTTCAATTGCTGTATCATTTCTGAGAATTTGTCTTTTTCATATTGCTGCAATTTTTTAAATTCTTCAACACTAGTTATATCAAGCTTGTGCTTTGTCTTTGGCTTTGGCGGCTCAAAGGCACAAGTCAAGATTGCTAGTTTTGCATCTCTGACTTCGTCTGGCATTTGTGGGTGTGAGAAATCCTTGTCAACGATCACACCTTTGACAAGAAGAGAATCCTCTAGTGATCCTCCAACTTTACCATCAACCTTGATTAATTCAAAATCAACATCTTTTCTTTCAAGGTCCGCAACGGAAAGAACAGCATCGACTGCGATTTTGGCAAAGTGATCGTGTGCCTTAGAAACACTGTAAAATGTCGATTAGTTTCTAGACTCGTGCGAAGAAAGCTAGACAGATCCAAACCGTAGTCATACATTTTGCTACCGAGGCACGTCTTCGCAACTTTTAAAAGGTTTTCTTGATTCTCTCGGGTAAATTTCACTTCATCACTAATTTTATCAAGGTGTGCAACTGCAATCTCACAAGCTTGGTCAAATCCATCAGCAATGCGGATTGGGTGAATTCCTTTGTCAATAAGATCCGCAGCCTGTTCCAAAAGTGCGCCTGCGAGTACGACGACGCCAGTTGTTCCATCGCCAATCTCATCATCTTGCGATTTCGAAAGTTCTACTAATAATTTGGCAACGTGATTCGAGATTTCCATCTGCACTCAAAGGTCTTGCTTAGTAGTGGGGGTGGTGATGTGCGAACAGACTGGGACGAACCTGGGAAAGAATGGTCGCTCCGTCATTTGTAACAGTAATGTCCCCATCAGGTGATATCAAAATTTTATCAAGCCCTCGGGGGCCCTATAAAGAGTGAGCACTTCCAAACCCAATCAGGGGCAGGTAGGAAAAGGACGACATACCAGGGAGGTCTTTACAATATTGGATACTGTTTTTGCAGCAACGATGTGTGATTTAACAGCATCATTTCCATGCTGTCTTTTCTTTTTTCCCTGGCTATAACGTGCATATTAGAGTTGTGTCACAGAGCCTACTCAGTTGTTATTTAGATGGGGTAGGGTAAAATATAGCGTACTCTCGAACGACGATGAAAGGCCTTCCTTGCTCGTCTTTCATAACAGATGCTGCAGTCAAAGATGTCAGAAAATACAATTCCGGAGGGGAAAAGCGGTAAGCCACCTTGGGACATATCAATTTCTACGACATAAAGCTGTCAGCAGGGTTCAATTAGTGGAGGGGTATTGACCATACGCATTGCCATGTTGAAATTGAACCGCTGAGCGGTTGATGTGCTGAGGCTAACAGCTACCCTCAAGGCCAAATCAAAGCAAGCAATCTCAGCAATAGGCGAAAAAGAGATGCAGGGTGTTGATCTGGGTATAGAAACTCCACTGTCTGCGCGTGTTGCCCGCAAAGAAATTCGGTGGAGGAGCTCTTTGCCAGATCTGGTTTAGCGTTCTGAGCGCGCTTAGTCAGACACCGTGAACGCGAACTTTCCGCGCCGCGAAACAGCAAAGAACAAGCTACAGCGGCGTGAATCCTTTTGCGCCGCTTGAGATCAGAATAAGTGCTTGCAATTTCATTTCATTTACACCTCATTCCCATCATTTCAATCCTATCCTCTGAAAAAGACTGATATAGTCACTATGCCTCGTAAGTCTACGAAGCTCTTTGTAGCTGCAAAGTGCCTGTTTTTCCTAACTTTTCGTTAGCTCCAGTTGAATTCAGCGATGACGAGTCCGGGGGGGAATCAATTCCTTTCGATGATGAAAAGTCCAAAACAGATAAGGCAAACGAGAGTACGGGAGCTGAAGGAAGTGAAGACGAGAGTGAGGAGGAAGGGGGTGATGTGTTTGTCTATGAAGACCGTTCGATCTACGAACCAGGCTAATCTTGCTAGATATGTCGTTGAAAAGATCGTCAGTCACGAATTTGCGAAAAAGGTTCGTCGATATATATGGCTTAACCTCCTTTTCAACGGAAGCTGAAGTTTTTAGGGAACACTGGTGTTCCTAGTCAAATGGAAAGGATATGATGACCCCAGTGATATGACTAAGGAGCCCGAAGAAAACCTGTAATATCTTCTTCGCGTTGGCCTCTTGATATTCTCTAACTTTCTGTATAGGGAGGGTGCCCAGGAAGTTCTACAAGAATATTTTGAGAGAATAGGAGGCCGCCCGGAAAAACCTTCAAAGAAACGGAAATCGGGCGCGTCAGTGCAACAACGAACACCCGCAAAAAAGTCTAAAAAATCACCTGATATTGTAAACGGAACATCTGATGCTATAGAACTTCATAATTGGTATCCTGAAGGGAGCAACTGGGATAGCCAAGTCGAAACAGTTGAAACCATCATTAGGAAGAACAGTAACTTATATGCGCTGCTAGCCTTCGACAATGGAAAGAGATCAAAAGTGTCCTTAGCTCAGGCTTATGAAAAATGTCCGCAAAAGGTATATATATATACCCAATATCTTGGTGTGATCATCGTTGATATGCTAACTTTCTTCAGATGCTAAGGTTTTATGAGAGTAATTTGTATGTTGCATACCTGATAGATTTGCGTGATTGTGTTGGCTGACGACTGTACTTGCTTCAGGGTATTTAAAGAGGAGTAGGTTTTGCGCTTCGAATTGATCTCCTTCCAGAAGCATGTAATTCAACAGGTATAATGGCCGTTTGATCCTGCTATTACCGACTCCGTCGAGACACCTCAATTGTCAAGACTGATATGGATTGTATCTGGTATGCTGAATCAGTCCATAACCTGGTATTTGGTCCTTAACAGTCATTTATTTGATAGTCATTGGTTCATGAACTTAAATCATTTCCACATGTTGCTCGGAGGACAATTTTCATACTCTCCTGGGAAATGTGTATTTTCCTATACTTCAATGTGAAATGCGGTGTTGTTTTGTCTGTCTTTAGTGAATGGAATTTGTTGACATGGGCTGCTATTCAAACTAGGTCATTGAATTTGCCCTGTTGTTTCTCTTTTTTTCCGAGAGCTTTTTGACATCTGTACTCATTATTCATAACAAAGTAATATTGTAGCGCATTCCAAGGGATATTTTCGGCCTCCTTGTTCCGTTATTCAATCTGGGGGTTACTTAGAAAGCTGGGAAACATTTGGGCCATTACTATCAACAAACTGGTGAGCTGGCTGAAGCTTCCTCATCTTCCAACTCCAGCTGCCGCACATTGTTCAAATACTCTCCCCGTATATCGGCATTTTCGACACCATGTTTCTTCTGCAATTTAAGTACATCATTATGATTTCCGGTGACTAATAGATGATCGTCTTCTTCGGTCCATATTCCCGGTATGTCGGTTGGAATGGCCTTACCCTCCTTGAGATAGTCTAGTACTATATCGGCAACAAAAGGGTTCATGGAGGTACATGAAAGTGCCTGAGTGATTTGGTCTTCATCCTTTGCTCTGCCTGTTCTGAGTCTTGATTCAATCCATACATCTAGTTCTTGAACTTCCTTTTCATCTTCAGCTATATCCAGCGGTTCGGCTGTATCTGGAATATTCGGCAGCGGTCCATTGAGCAAGTCATCGAGTTCCTGAGAATGTTGTAAGGGATCAGCAAAGATCGCTTGGGTTGATTGACCTTGTAGAGCAGTTTCATATTTTTCACTGGATTGGGACGAATTGGCTGATGAATGAGATGATGGCACTGCGTCTCTAGATGCTGAGCCAGCGAGCTCGATCGGCAATTCTTCATAAAAGGGAGAAGTTCCATTCGGTGCTCTAGCTGTATTTCCCTCGGTATCTGACAACGAAGCTATGGTTGATTCTCGCTCCACTCCGTGTCTCCATACGCTAGGCTGTACTATACCTTTACCGAATATTTCTGTATCTTTGGCCGTTCGCTGTCGTTTCCTGGAGGGAAGTTCAGTCTCATCTCCACTGGTGGTATCATGTGGCACGCCATCGTTCCATGAGTTGCGTTTTCTCTTCCCCGTAAAGTTGGATGCCATACGTATAAGCGGCGCATCTCCGTTATCTGAACCTTGAACCTGGGGTGGAGGAATGATTGTCTTTGTTGACAATGCTATTCGAGGCGATAGAGCACTGGATTGTTGAGAGACTCTGGCAGAAGAAGGAGAAGCGGGCTGACTTGATGATGCCTCTGGTTCTTTAGAATCTGCGACATATTTGGGTCGGACATTTGCATCAAAATAGCTTTTCCATTCAGATGCCGTGTGGCGGGTCTGAAACATCGAAAATTAGGCATGCTGTGATATCAGGCGACTATTAAGAGGTTGAAATACATTTACCAAGGAAAACCCTTCCCAGAATTCAGCTTCTCGTGAGGTATCAATCTCTATAATTTGGGGCGCCATACGGAACAGTCGGGCTTCCTCGGAATCTGAGAAGGAAATAGAAGTGATATGAGGAGACGGTGACTTTGAATGTTCCTCTGGCACTAAAGGCTCTCTGCTCGACTCTGATGAGTTCAATGCAATAGAGGGAGCCTGTCCACCAGGATTGTCCTCCCTAGCCACTGGGCGTGGACGATCCTTGACTGTTCGTAGGTACCGATCTCGCCATGACTGGTATGTATGTTGGGGATGCTGGCGTTCATGTTAGTATCAGAGTGCTGCAATTCTCGAATAGACATACTTGTTGTTCAAGTTGTTGATAAATTTTATTTCCCCTGATTGGGCCACCTTGTTGTTCGAAAGGCTTTACCCAATCATATAGAATCTGGTCGTCTTTTGCTGAGAATCCTGCCCGTTGCTTTTTGGAGGGAGTAGATATCGACCCTACAGGGCGAATACTTCCGGGTGCGGGCCCTGCACGGAAGTCTTCCAGATCCAACAGCTTCCCTGCGCGTAAACAGCGATCTATGAACTTGAAAGAATAGCTGCAAGTCACGGCACGTCAATGAACAGCCTCAGATTCGAGAAGGATAGGCCTAACCTTCCTTGTGGGAGGTCTTTTCTCATATTATCAACGAGGAAAATGTCGGCAGCTTTCTCGAGGTGCACGACTTTCCCACCGTGGCTCTGGAAGCAGTTAGCACCTTTGGCTATGTAACAATCAGCCTACCCACTGTTATTTGTTCAGCACACCATGATCTTTGTGGCACAGTGGCGGACAAGAAGAATTTTAGGTCATTGAATAGCAAAAGCTGGACGTCCGATGGAGGCGCCATTGGGCTTGACATGAACTCCTTTAGCCTCCAACTCGGGTCGCTGTTGATGCGCGTCGCGTTCGAGAGCATGGCCTTATCGATAACCGTGACCTTATGTAGTTATCACGTGACCAGTTAGTTAGTTAACTAGTGTAGTTATATAACAAAAGCTTAATTTCTCCAAGTTCTTCCTCTATGAGAGTTAAAGAAGCTACCAACTACAGATACAGAGCTGCAGAACCTGGAATGTTGCCATCCCTGATATTGATCCCATGTGTTTTACGGACCTATGTACATACACATATATACATATATAGCATCGAGGCACTTCAGTATATAAGCCAAACAACGGTGCACTTCTGCATTTTCTCTACCACCGGACCCAGCTCCTAGAAAATTCAAATGGGATCCTACATGTTGAGCTTGAAGCCACCTGGCTGATTTAATTCAAAAACTTTCCGGGGATCATATTTCATTTGTGCTTGTCGCAATTTCTTCACATTCTCTGGCCCGTAGCTGGTGATGGGCTTCTGAAGTGGCGCTGCATAATTCAGATAAATGTAGCGATGTGTGAGCCCCCTTGCCTGTGCCCATGCTTTTGTTCGCTCAAGAATTCGCTGAACTGCAGGTAGAACAACTTTATCATCAACAACTGCAGACCATTGAAAGGAAATATTAACCACTATTGAGTATTAGCAGATGATAAAGAGGAGGAGAGAGAATGAGACACATACAAATGAGAGGTCCATCACTTTCACTAAGACCAAGAGCATTACCACCACGTTTCTTAAGCTTGGAAGTTATTGTTGTTGGAATTGGTTGAATGACAATAGCAGGAAGAAAGCCTTCTTCTGTTGATAGTTGAGGTTTAAGCTTGGTGGCTTCCTCCATATATATATCCACCAATTTATTCTGTAGCTCTGCATCGTTTTTGAATGTTATTGTGGTGAATTGATTGCGCAAGCCTGGTGGTAATCTTCGGGCCAACTCATCTGTCATGCCCTTGGTAGTTGTGGTTCGAGTTGAATCCACCAATGGCTTGATTTTGAGGAGATCCGGGAAATTTGATTTATAGATAGGGGGGTCGGCTTCGGGCTTTGCATTGCTGAGACCAACTGTTGAGAAAAAAGTGCCATTCCGGGCCGCATAGGTGGTAATAAGAGCAAAGTCTTCATTGCCCATTGGATTGGCATTGTAGGAGCTCAATCCTCGACTGATAATGTTTTTAGTGTCTGCGGCAACGTATGACCGGAATCCACCCCACATCTGGGCGACTGGATAGGTCTCGAAATCAAATTTAAGAACAACACCAAAGTTATTCCCACCACCTCGTAGTGCAAGGTAGAGAAGTGGGTGTGAATGCTGATCTACCTCTAAAATTTGGCCGTCCGCCATCATTATCTAGATCATCTGTCAGCATACACCATGGTATTCAGAACCAGAGGCATTTTGACTGACTGTATATTTCAACACCGTGTCGCAAGTAAGTCCCGCACGGCCAGCAATGTAAGAGACTCCACCTATTCACCTGGTCAGATACATGGACTGCTCAGAAATATGCAAGTAATATCCAAGCCTACCGCCAAGACTCAGACCCCCAACTCCAACAGTAGAGGCGCGACCTCCAGCGACTGTCACCTGCTGGGGGTCAAGTTCCTTGTAGACGTCACCCCAAAATGCACCAGAATCAACAGTGGCAATCTTTTTGTCAGTTGACAGAGTAACTTTGTTGAAAGCCCGAAGGTCAATGGTGACTCCTAGAGCAGTGTTTGAGGCACCAGGAACATCTGAAGTGCCTCCAGCACGGATAATAAAAGGACAGCCTGATACCTGTGACAAAATAAGAGCCACAGCTATTGAACGTGAGGTTTTTACGGCTAAAAAGCAAGTAGGAGATATTTCAGACTGTTGCTTTGCCCAGTAGCTTGCTTTATTGGTAGTATAAGATTCAGAGCCTGGAAAAGAGACCTCAGATGGCATGGAATGCCGGAGAGCGTTACACTGAGATTGCAGATTAGAAACCCTCTTGCCCTTGAATTGTCTAGGAGAGGTATATATACCATGGCAGTACAGGCTGTTTTTGTATCCGGCTTTTTGGGGAAAGACATATAATCTTTCACCACTTGTGTTAGGCCAAGATCTTTGATTGAGTCTGGAAGCGAGCGAGGAGCATAGTTCTGAGGCGCAGCCATTACAGCAGCTGCAGGCAACAGCCATGTCAACGAAGTCTTGAGCAGCATCTCTGATATAATGAAAGAACCACCAAGTTTCCCAAGATTTTTGTCTCACCATCACAACAATCGGAGAGAGCGCAGCCAGTTATATAGACAGCGGGAGAGAATCGACAACCAGAGTGTTGGTCAAAGCGTGGGAGTCAAGAGATTACTGGTCTTAGAATTGTGCCTTCAGACTTGCCCAATCCTACAGAGGCCCACCCGTCATCCACCAGGCCGTAGATACCTTTCAGGTGGATTGTCTTGCATGGCAACCGGAGGCACTTCAGGCAGAATGGTCAGCTTTGCTGAGCATCATTAAACATCTCATTCTCAATATTACCCTCTAGCTACTCCATATGTCCCTCTCCCATCTGCTTGGCAAAACCTCAGCGGAAAAGGATGCCAAGATATCAAGACACTCAGAAGCCGAGAAAAGCAGACGACAATGCGGGCAAAGGAAAGGCGAGAAGGTTCTCGAAAGCCGGCATGGGAACGAGCCGGTATCTACATGTTAGTGAGATGCGCTGATAGCCGCCAAACTGCTGGCTGATAAGTGTTGCAAGGCGGGCTGCTATACACATCTGGAGACATACGACAGGTTATGCAAGTCGGACGTATATGGATGTACATAGTGAATTCAGCGCAAATCCCCACGGCCACTGCCCTGGGTGTTCGCGAAGCTTGTGAACCAGTACCAGCAATGCGTGGTGTACGGAGATTATTTCAGGCTCGTCGCAGGTGCGCACAGACCCTGAAGAAGGATTTCACCAGCGAGTCGTTCGTTCACCAAGAGTACCAAACGATACAGACTCAAGGCAAGACAACACCCACTAGCGGCTCCCGTCGATGATTTCGTTTCTATTTCTAGCTCAGAGTATCCAGTGTTCGAATTCCCACCGCTCGGCTCACGGGCACAGCAGTGACAGACTAGGTAACAAATAACTAGTTAGTTAAACTTCCCGAAGTCTAGCTGATCTCTGGACAGATAAAATATAAGCCTGGCGAGATGCGCAAGCGTGTATTATTTGCACATCGTTGCTTGTCAATGCTCAGATGTGATCATCGTGTCACCGCACCCGGTCCCATTCCGAGCCTTTGGGAGTCGATGGGGTGGTCTGGTTACGGTTAAGTTGACATTCCAGAGATACACAGGGGCACCCGCTACCCAGAATACATCTCGGAGAAATCCATTGCGCGGGCCATGCAGAATTCGCAGGAAGTGTCGTCCCCTCCGCCCAAAGGAAGGAAGAGGGATGGAAGGGTGGATTGTTCTAGACTCCACAATCAGAGTGCCTCCGTCAGTCGCGCTCCGGGACGGTAGTGAGTTGTTGTTATACACTGTAATTTGCTTCGAAGACGTCAAGTTCAACACAGCAGGGGGGCACCTGAGAGATGGGGACCCAAGGTCCCGCTGACGACCTCGGTGGCTCCTCAGTTGAGACAGCCTGAGCGGCTGGAAGCGTCCGCCGCGCACAGAGAACGACTACGCGTTCGACGTGGGATGAGGGAACTAGTTCATGTAGTAAGTTCGATAGGATGTGGCTGGAAAAATACTGTGGCAGACGCTCGGCCAGCAGCAATGGGGTATGTGCGCATGCAACAGCCTACGTGATGGCGAGCATTCAATTGCTTCGTGAGAAGGAGTTACATTAGCTAATAATGAAGACGGGAGGAATCTCTTCGCGCTCTGGCTTCGCCAAACCTTGTCCGGAGACCTCAGGTAGTTAACTACTAGTTTGGTTTAGTGCAAACTCTGATCAAAATCCAGGACCTAACTGTAAGAAGGACTGAATTGAGCACCATATTTTTAGCACAATACGTATATGTGCCATTATTTTTAGAATATTAATAGGAGAAAAGCTCGCTGACTTCCCTCGCTGCTCCGCTCTTGTCAGTACAGAGTAGCTGCTAAGCGCTCCTACCGCAATTCTATACTCCGTAAAGCTATGTTGATAAGGTGGAGAGCTGCATCCTAATCTGCCATGAGTGAGTAATCAAAAATCTGCTGATTAAGCAGAGTCCCGTCTGATGGACTTACATAAGGCCGAAGTAAAGTTAAACGAAATTTTGAACCAATCACAGTACTAGTATTTTGTGGGCACGCCATCCACCTGTCGTTACGGAGTAACTTTACTCCCTAGCATCTTATTGAACAGAAATATTATTGCTGTAATCTCCATGCTCTACGGAATACTCCGTGCAGAGTGATCTGTACCGTCTGCAAGTTGCACCCTTCACCCCCTGTTTACCTCATGCATATGTTCTACCAGGCTGCTGTGAGGGCCTACCGCCAGCAGGTGGCCAGAATCCGCAGTCTCTCATGCGGCCTTTGGGATGCCGACTAGTGTGGTGAAATGGATCGGCACTTGTTTGAGTACACATCTGGCCGGTGGATGTGAGTGTTCATTGTGGGTACGTGAAAATGGCCGGTGCCGATGAGGTCAAATGGTTTACAGATATAACGAGTCGCTCCGCCGGGATGAGAGAACCCTGGCCTTCAACGTCCAGGAGCTTAAACGGCTTGCCGCCGCTTCTATCCACCGTCATGAATCCGATATCAAAGACTTTCAGAAGCTCGCAGAAGGCGGATTCAATCGTGTGTTCGAAATTACAATGAAGGATGACAACACCCGGATTCTGGCCCGGTTACCATACCCTTCCACCGTTCCTAAGCGACTTGCTGTTGCGAGCGAGGTTGCAACATTGGACCTGCTCCGTTGCCATGATATCCCTGTGCCCAAAGTCCTTGGTTACTCCGCCAATACTGATAATTCTGTTGGCGCTGAATACATCCTTTTGGAGAAGGTCAATGGAACCCCGCTTGGGGTTTCATGGTATACGCTTTCGGATAAGCAACGGTTAAAAATCCTAAGTTATTTGCGGTGTAGCTTCCAGCCTCTGGCAGTATATATTATTGCCATGATTTACCGCCGGAATTAAAAAACAATGTTGTCAACCTGTCACACAGCTTTGACTTTCCTAATGGATGCTCGGAAATCTGTATTGGGCCGGACGCGTCTTTGGCGTGGTGGTATGCAGAACGATCCTTGCTTGGCGACATCAATCGCGGTCCGCGTAAGCTATCCCTAAATAGTAAATGCTGGCGCAAAGTATTTCTAACATGCTGGCCTAGACTTAGACGCCGCTCAGTGTATGGAGGCTGTAGCGAACAAGGAATTGGCATGGCTGAAATCATATGCTAAACCACGCTTTCCCTTTGAACGAGCGTATCGAGAAGCCACAAACTATCAAAAATCGGCACCGGAAGAATACATTGAAATACTTGAGCAGTACCTAAAGATTGTGCCTTACCTCATTCCGAAAGACAAAGGCTTACAGAGGCCGATCCTGCGCCATCCCGACCTCCAACCGAATAACATATTCGTCAACCAGGATTTGGATATTGTTGGTTTGATAGACTGGCAATACTGTTCTGCCCTTCCGCTCTTCCTCGCAGCTGGCATTCCAGACTATATTCAGAACTATAACGATGAGGAATCACTTCGCTTCACTCCGCCCAAATTATCTGATAGCCTGGATGAAATGAGCCCCCATGGGCGCTCTGCCGCACTGGAACAATTTCGAAGGCGCCACTTACATTTTTACTATCTCGGATTTACGCAACGCTTTAACCCATGTCATTTTAACGCCCTCGACTCGGACTCGAGCCACCTGCTGAAACGAAAAACATTTACTCATGCAGCTTACCCCTGGGAGGGGAATAATGCCCAACTAAAAGCGGATTTGGTTCATGTTGTGCAAAACTGGGGTAATGTCGTTGCCTGCACAGAAAGTCAACGGATGGATAACGCCGACCGGTGCACACCTAAATGTCCTGTGAAGTTTGACCCATTAGAAGCCCAGGACGTTCTCCGCATTGAAAAGGAGTATGAAGAGATGGAAAACCAACTCTCTAGGATTCGAGATGCAATTGGAGTAAGTGCTGATGGCTGGACATCAACTGAAACATTTGACGACGCAGTTGCGCGGGCACACGAGTTCAAAATTATGGCGATTGGCTCTGTCTCAGACAACAAATTCGATCAGGAGATGACTGAAAAACATTGGCCCTTTGATGACTTCGATGAAAATGAGTAGATACTAGTGTATCTATTGCATGAATAGACTGAGTCAAAGAATCTCTTATGCATTTGTAAGATTTTCTTGTAAATAGAGAGAAAATTCAACTTTTGACATGTATTAAAGCATCAACATAGTTCTATTGATTTTGTACTTTTTAATATTTTGAGCATAAATCGAACATCTGTCATTGAATTCTGACGCGAGAGAGAAAGCGGTCATGGTTTACTCGTGATAGTTAATTCTGTGCTGACTCAGCCAGCCAACCAAGCCAATGACCCTTATTTCATGCCTCGCGCGAAGGGCTCGGTGGGGCCAAAACAAGGGGTTCTCCATGATGCATTGGTGAGCGAAGCAGCGAATGCTGGCTGCTTAATCAAAACCGTGTATCTTTTTTTACGATGGGTCTCCTTCGTGAAATCGCGCTGGCGGTATTGAGTATCTCTCTCCTAACATTCCTTGCTCTTTTTGGTAGAATACCAGCTTTTCGGTAGGATTTTTCTCATGCAGTCTTTGCACTTCTCACAGCTGACCTATAACAGAAAGACCCCCATAGGCTATATCTATCGCTTCGTCTGGATTCGTATACCTGGGTTCTTTCTCACTCTCGACTCGATCATCTGTGGAGGGCGCTTGAAGCTATACACTGCTCATACTGGACAGTATTTACTCCACGCGAATCACCCTCTTATCCTTGTATGGAGGTGTCAGAATATACAAAGCTATTAAAGCTGACAAGATAATAGCTATTTTTCCTTACGCTGCTTATCTGCTCTGAGCTTTCGTTTATCCCAGTCGCGTGGTCAAAACTCGAGCCAATACACCAATTATTTGTGCCAATAGTCGTTATTCAGCCTTATATGTTTCTCTACCTAAGTGTCTACACGAAATCTACCATAACGCCAAAAAGCCACGCCGGACATATGCAGTTATATCCTTATGACCGCATCATTTTTCACCCAGGGAACTTCTGCCGCACATGCAAATTTTTGAAACCGGCTCGAAGTAAGCATTGCAGTCTCTGCAATGTCTGTGTTGCCCGTCATGATCACCATTGTATCTGGCTGCGCAATTGTGTTGGCAAAAACAACCACGCCTACTTCCTTTCTTTACTAGTTTCCACCTCGCTGCTATTGGGTTATGGTGCATTCCTAGGGTATAGAATTTTGGATGGTAGTCTGAAGGAAGCACTGGCTTTGAGTGTACCTGCATCATCATCTTCGCACCACTGGAGTAACGGCCTCTCTTGGTCAATATGCCTCGAAATTTGGATGTTAGCTATTGCGAATGACATTCGCATTGGAGCCGTGTTCCTCCTAGCCACACTAACCGCCCCTTTGTCTGCAGCCATGTTTTGCTATCATCTTTATTTGATTTGGGCGGGAATGACTACAAATGAAAGTGCGAAATGGTCTGATTGGCGCGACGATGTTGCTGCTGGCACCGTGTTTCAAGCCAAATCCAGCCAAATATATGGAAGACATGAGGGAGATGCCATCACTGAATCAGAGATTCATTGGCCAAAGCTAAGTGATCAGACGCTTGTCTTTACTACAGATGGCCGGGCCCCAAAAGAAGGCTATACTCCCACTAAAGATCGTTTTTCCATATTACAGCCGCAAGACACCAATGCTGAAGAGGACCCTAGATGGACCAGAGTTACCAACATGAAGGAAGTTGTAAACCTCTATGATTGTGGGTTCTTGAACAATCTGGTTGATTCTCTAGATCTCCGAGGCAACACTAGTCGTATCTAGTTTATCTAAAAGATTGATTTTTATACATAATAGACCTTATTTAGTATCCAGTAATATTTGATTCCTAGCGAAATATTATTGTGTTCTCTCTACTATCGTCACCCAAGTGCATTTGAGCTGGCTAAGTTGCTTCACTCGCAATGATTAAACGGAAGCGGTAAAACTATTAGCCGCTTATCCGCCGTTCAAAAATAAGTGGAAACACAACGTTTGGAGCATTGATTTACCACTTGTTATCTGAGCCGGTTTACCTACCAGCTGGCTTATTTTGCTTTCGTATAATGGCGTCTACTCCAAAGCCAGAGGCATCAGAGCAGTCGGCAAGCCAGGATCGGCCCAAATGCACCCCCCCCGAGCTACTATTAAAGGTTGTCCTTGCAGGTACCTTGAGCCATTACGAAACTCGTGGAATGATCGATGATAAAAAATTGGAGCATATGCTACTTGCTGGGAAACAGATTCTTTACAAGAGTCATCAAGAGAGTGATGTCAGGTGTGTTTCTATATTTTCTCTATCTTTTTGATTTGTTTTACTGATGTAGTTTGGGTTGATAGGCAGAATCTCGGCTTCTCTCCTGCGGTATGGCAAGGGCTTACAGATGTGTTGACAAAAGCTATTCCTGTTCTCGAATCTCAATCATTCGCTTGGAAAACTCCGACGACTGCAAATTACGACGGATCGTCTGCTAATTTGATCGCGTATAATTATCTCTCCCTGGTAAAAGATATTGAACGTTTAAATGATTTATGCACGATAGCGCGCAACCTGCTTGCTACCACAAAAAGAGCCCAAAATCTAGCGGCAGAGAAGGGATTTGACCAGCGCATCTTAATGCTCATTGACACTTGCGTCCGAGTCACAGCAAGAGGTTATGATGGTGAAAGTAACCAGAGAAACGAGGAAAGGTGGCAGAAGGTAGTTAGTCTTTATAAAAGACTGCTGATAACTTGCCTACAATTCCTTCATAACTTCATTATGCACAATGAGCACCGAAAACTTGTTCTATGGTTAGACCTATTTGGCTATCATCAAAATGGAGAGTCAACTATCATTACCCACATGGAGCCATTGGACCAAGCTCATGCTACTGTGCAGGGAGTTGCCCCTATTGTAAGAGCTGGTGAGCGGTTGGTAAATCCGCCCTTAAGGACACTCTACGATCAAACTGCCGAAGACCTTTTGCTCGAAACGATTTCTACATTTCCTAGGGAACCTGCTACTATTAAAGAAGAAGCTGCCATGCTCCTTCTAGCAAACATCAAGGATCATATGGAGAAATTACTTGGAAGAAACCTAAAAGAAATCCAGCAAATGGGTAAGGACCCGGAGCGTGTTAAGGAGATTCGCGCCGCGCTTACTGCAATTCTCGGTGCAAAGGTTGATGGCTGGGCAGAACTGAATGATCGTCATGGTGGACTGAGGAGGGAGGAAGAGGAAACACGCAAAAAGCCCATTCTAAGCATTGACAGGTCTGCTACTACTGGATATCCGCGCACTTGTTGGACTGATCTACCTGATCTAGACGAATATGGTGTCGTTGCAGCAGCCGATGCACCAGTAACAGCCGAGGATAGGATAATGACTCGTTCTGCCCAGTCTGCTGCAGAGACACTGCAAGAAGCGAAGGATGAGTTAATGGCGCGCTTACAAGAGACGTCCCCCGATATAGTGGAAGGAGACGCTCACTACGATTCTACTGAGCGCCGTGATATTCGGGCGGGAAGTGAACCACCGGGGGCCAACTCAATGGCAAATGCTAGCGAAGGCGAAGAGGAGGACGAGGAAGACGACGACGAAGACTACAGAGGCCGGCCTGGCGACCAGCAGCGAGGCTTGCTCACTGATATTCCACTTGTTTTGGGTCCTTCAGAGATTGAGGCCCTACCCATGATCATCCAGGCTGGTATCGTCGATAGTTTTGGGCCCAAGGGTCCACAGAAGCCAGGAACTAAGAACATGCAAGCAGTTAGATGTCATATTCTTCTTGCGCAAGAAACTGGCCGGAATCTTCTTAGAGAACTTTTAATATTCATTGCCGCATGGGATCTTCCTGACGATGAACTATACTTCAAAATGATGGTCCAAATTATGGAAGCTGTTCTCAAAAACGGCTTAATGTCCTGCGCTTACTCTGACTTTGGCCAGGCGAAAGATATCATTTCCCCAGCTCAAGCTGTTGTTATCAAAATTTTAACCCACATATTCAGGGCAAAGTACTCACCACCAAACATTGCCTCAGCTACTGAAACACCAACTGGCCGGAGCTCCGTCCCCGTTACAAAAGTGGATGTTCTGACTGTACGCTACATTTTCACTATCTTCCGTGGAAACATAATTCCCGAAACTTGTGCTCTCATTTATCTTCAGGGCCAGATTCGAGCCGGCCATGCTCTCTCAGAGGATTTTCCACTAAATCTATGGGATATGGAGCGTGTATACGAAGGAGTATATCAGTTCTTGGAATTCTTCGCTGTCCTAACCGAAAATACTGAGTGGAAGAATCTTCTAGTTCAGTGGGAAATCGTGTATGACCTAGTTACCCTAATCAAAGAATTAGAAGTTAGCATTCCCAAAGGAAGTCTGAGCGCTCTCACTGCCGCTGCTACATCGAGGGCCCCTCAGACCTCTAAAGACCCAGTTCAAGCTGGTACCGTTGGCCCCGTCGCTGTGGAACGCCCATATGAGCCAAACGACCCTGATTCAGCGGATGCAGCCACCGTCAGCGCGGAATCCAGAGATCCATCGCCTCCAATGGGCAACGAAGATCCTTCCGAGTTCGAGTGGCGAAATCTCAAGAAACTCGTCATTCTTGTCCTTTCCTCGCTAGTTTGGAAATGCCCGGAAGTACAAAATCAGATACGCAAGCACGGTGGTGTTGAAACAATCCTGTCATGCACGAGCTTTGATGCACATAACCCTTATATCAAAGAGCACGCTGTTATGTGCTTGAAATTCTTGCTTGAGGGAAACAAAGAGAATCAAAAAGTTGTTGAAGAGTTGGAGGCTCGTGAAGTTATGAAGGATGACGGTGGTTTCCTAGAAAGAAGTGGTTATGAAGCCGTGCTCGACGATGTTGGCAAGCTGGCGATCCGTAAAAAAGAGGCAGATGTATCTATCGCTGGTCCATCAGGTGTTGATGGTACATAGGGCCCATCTGTGTTGATTTAAATTTTAAAGTCCATACATTCCCAACCCGTTACTCTTATGGCTGTTTTTCTAGGGTTTGTCACCTTCAGCGCAAATATAAAAATATTTCCTTGTACCACATAGTATTTTTTATCTATTGAGGACATTTTCTTGTGAGTTTGGGGTAAATGCTTAAGACTGTGATGGAATTTGTATGGTACTCGAATGATTGCCCAGAAGTAAAATAAATGGAAGAAAATCGCACCAAGAGCCAATATATGAGGTATGGATTATAGAAACGCTCTCTACTATCGGCTGCCTACCCATACATTCCATCCCACTCTTCATCTTCATTATCCTCAGATTGTGCTCCTCGCTTCATGATTCTCTCAATTCTCTCTCGTTCCTTGTCCCGCTCTTTTTGTCCAAAATCTACCCTGTCGAGCGGGCATGTTCCCCGCAGTCGAAGCCAAGGCCTCAAGCATTCTAGGTCAAAGAGATGTGATGTATGACAAGGCAGTCGGACGATGAGCGGGTACGGATCGTCCAAGAATGGATTATTGCAGATTGGACACGATTGTGACGCCTTTAAAGAAGACACCGGAACACGTTCAAGGGCTATAGGTTTCATCAGCACTTGCTTCTACACAATTGCAGAATATGTATTTGGTAAATTAAGGCACACGGCTCTCATACCGTCACAAAAGCTTTCACTAACTCCTTGTACTTCCATTGGAGGCTCTTCTGCTCCCTGCAGTAGCATTCTTATCATCTCCGCGACCAGACCGCCGTCAGTTGCCTCCTCTTCGCCTAGGCCTAGACCCTCCGGTATGCGTCCATCGTACACAGGCAGTAGTGCTTCACCACCACTTTCTGACTCTCGTCGCATCACATCAAGGGCTTCTGCAAGAGAGCGGAAAGCAGCGCTTACATCGCCTGGCACAGGCACAGCGTACGGCCGTGCTCGTGATTCAGATGGGGTGGGAGTTATTTCATTGAGGGTGGCAAAGAAGGAGGAGAGGTCAGGGCGGCGGGGGCGGCGATGCTGCTGTTCATTCGTATCTGCTGTGGAATGCTCAACTAGAAGAGATAGGAATTGTTGTTAGCCTCCAGGCCGGGCTCCTGATGTAACTAGCTCATTGAAGTAGCTACTGCGGGGGTGTGAACCTACCTTCATATGAAGCCATAGCGGGGCCAACAGAATGTATTCAAGATGCTAGTGGGAGTGAGTTTGCGAAGTTCTAGGTGCAGAGCAATATTATTGTGTGTTGAGCTTTATTGCGTATTTGCAGCGTGTAAAGATAAGCTGGGGAGATTCAAGGCAGAAGCACTGGCGTGGCTTCCAACCCGTGGAGCTAGGAGCTTTAACTGGTTAACTTCCTACTACGGAGTAACTAACTACTCCACGTCTCAAGTTTTCGAGCACTTTTCTATTTATCAACAGTGCCTTTGAATTCCAAGAATTCTTCATCTGCTGTGGCTCTGTTTTGGCCGTTGACTGATGCAATGCTCCGTTCCATATGAAGGATCTATATTTTCCACACTTGGTTGGGCCTGGATAAATTCTTCGATGAGTTATCTACCCAAATGGCGATACATATTGCCTACAGTTGGCATACCTTAACGGGCCGATACTGCTATTATTATCAATACTCGAAGTCCTCGTATATGACCTTTTTCCCACTTAGCCAATTCAATGCAGCTCTTCTTAACCCGGAACCGGCACAAAGATACCATTTTTCCGCTTCATCGATCCTCAAATCCTGGACGCTTAATCGCCGTTTATGTACTTTGGCGCCCAATTCCGTGATGGTGGTTAAGATACTCTCTATTTCTCCAGCGTCCCCTGCCGAGCTGGTGATATACAGGATCGTTGATCCCGCCAAATCAGGGAATTGTGCAAAGATATCTTGAGCTAGTGCAATGTCTTGGACCTTTATTGACCAGTACAACTGGAATCGAGAAATATCGATTGTGTGCAATTGGGAGATGACGGGTGTGATTCCTATTCCGCCTGCGATAAATGGAACGAGCCGCCCATCCGCCGCGTATGTCGGTAATTGAAAATCCCCGCCGAGGCCAACCAAGGGAACGGTTAATCTGCATCTCTCACTGGATCTAAAGAGGTGACTTGTGACTCGACCATGTTTTCTCACCATTATTTCGAGCTCGTTTTTCGATAGATGGCGTCCAGGATGTGAAGATACTGTGAAGGTTCGAATGAAATCGTCATTGATGCTGGTAGGGTCATCATCTTTCATATGGCTATATCCCATGTCAAGTTCATCCCTAAAGGAAAATGTAGCATATTGTCCGGGTAACAGCTTATCGAGGAATGACGCTTCTGATACTTGGAACCGGAATCGAGTGATACTAGAAGTGATGATTTCCTTCCCGGTAAGAGTTGCCACGGTGCCACCGTTGTCAACCGGCCGGGCACTTGGTGTCTCCTTTTCAGTTAGAAGATAGCGGATGGATGGGTTGTATGGGGAGAGTTCTCCAATTCGTCCACGAAACGAGAGGCCTGTCTCAACGTATCTTGCCGCAGTCAATGTGAACTTGACGGCTAGGTTGGACCGAGGCAGAAGGGCTGCGGCATTTTTGCCTACAAGCACCTCAGTAACTCCTGTAGTATATAATACGTTGCCGTTCTCAAAATCTGGAAACACGAGACCAGCACGTGGGGTAGTTTCTAGATTACCCAAAGATTGATACAAACGATTTCCTGAGTATTCTGGGTAAACTAGGACTGCGCCCTCTGGATTATTTGATATGACCCGCACGAAACCAGGGGCCCCTCCTCGAATATTGGTGTCCATAGAATTTGTATTATGGGATGTAGATATAAATAATGTGTCCACCCTATTAAGCAGGTTAATCGAATCTTCTGTTAGTTGCGGAGAGTCAGAAATTAATTTCGGGTTTGGTTGGGCTGGAATAATATGCTTTTTATTAAGATATTTAGGACAGTTCCCTGTTACAGATCAGTAGTGAATAGCCATTCTGTCAGAGTATCATTATTTACCTAAGCTTTCTGTTACCTTGAAAACAAGTTGCGCTGCACCAACATTTTCTGAAATGCCTTCTTGATCTATCCTATTCAGGCAGGCCACGACCATCCGCCCCATCAATTTCAATCGTCGTCTGTTCTCGAGATCAATTGGTAAGGCGGCCATGAGCCCTCCGGCATCATCAAATTTAACCAACTCGCCGTCACATTTACCGTTCAGCAGTGCCTCCAAGACGGGATCATATGCCTTATCAACCGTATTTCGAAGGGCGACTATGGATGGCGCAATTTCACCTGCAAAGCCAGCAAGACCACCAAGCACCGTCGTCCATGGCAATCCGTCTTTATCAAGTGTGCCTATCGCTATCAAAGGGGTTGTTTGCACAAAATACCCTCCACCAGGCCTGAGGCCAGACACTGTAGGGTTGTCTTCGTAGGGAACTCGCATTAAGGTGTGAAGTTTCCTCTCGCCCTCGTGCCAGGGTATGCTTCCAGCGACAACAAATGCAGCCATTTTAGGCTATGAAAGGCAAGGAATTTTGAATTGAATAGACACACTAAAGCTTTGGACCTCGGCTGGTATCTCGCGCAGTGTGGAATTGCGTTGTGTTATTTTCCTAACCATTCCTTGGCCATTAAGTCACTAAGAATAATCTAAGAAGTGCCCTAGGGTGGTATTTGATAAATTTTCAGATTTACTGTGAGGTGGTTGTCAAAGTCCAACAGACGGAACTGCAGAGTGGTCTCCGCATGATGGTAATGCGTATTTGTAATCAAGCCTATTGCGTTTTGTGTTTTAACCAAGGTTTGTGCGCATAGCATTTTTAAGCAAAAGCAAGCATGTACGGAAGATTTCATATATAAACCATTCAATTGGAGTGTTCATGCTATCCCAAGGACATAGAATTCTCATTCGTACTTGGTCTTCGGTTGAGTTTTTTTGTACGGAGTATCTTGTCTTCGTTTGAGACTTTTCTCCCAGCAATCCATCTACTAAAAACCCAGAATTTGAGAGTTTAGCCATGAAAAATCAGGAGTAAAGCACAGCAAACCTAGATGTGATGTTCTTGCAGTGTCTTCGTTATAGCGTAGGGGGGATGAACGGACTGAGTCTGTAAGACAGTTGTGTGAGGTGCGGTTTGGAGCCAGGGGGGCCAATCGGAACCTACATCTCGGAATCGGCAAGGCTAATCCATAAGAGTGTTAGTCTCCGACGGCTCGGAGTAGCCGGGTCACGGGACAGCCGGCGCGGGGCGGACAAATGAGCTTCCGGGCGGATCCCGTCTGAACTGGCGGGATCGCGGAAACTCAAGGCTTCAGCGACGACGTCGACAGTTAGCTTTGTGACTCTGGGATGTCTGCCGCGGCGCCAAAAAGATGCGGCTGTTGGAAACGGCTGGGGGCGGTCCTTCTCTCAACCAAAGTCTCCATAGCAGAGACCCCAGGCGACTAGCACCATCCAGTTTTTTTGTCTAATGAGACCATATACATTTCAAAGGTGGTGAACATGTCTGGCTCTGACTACTCACCGCTGTGTGAGACGCAACGAATCTTTAGCCTTCTTTGCAACCTGAAAGATGAATTGTGCCTACCGCCTGACTTTGAGGGAATTGCCAAAAATGTAAACTTCACTTCTGAGAGGAACACTGTGTACTTCCCTATTCCCCTGAAAGAAACAGAAACTGCCTCAGCATTGAAAGGCATCGAAGCTGCGGTTGCTTGCTCGCTAGCCAACCTCAAATATGGACCCCGTTCCCGCAATATTAATATCAACCTGGAGCACGCAACATGCTTTCTCTTCCAGACGTATCTTTCTACCATCGATGGCCTGGGGAAATATGACGAGGGTGTGAAAACAAAGCTCAAAGGTTTGTTATTAAAACCAATTTGCTCCATTCCTTACTAACAATTCATGTTAAAGCTACCGATTTCTTTGAAGCACAATCTGATCCGTACCGCCGAATGTCAGCTAATCTTTATGCGACGAAAACACCTGGTACCTACTATCACATCCATGGGTCATTAGAAGCCAGCAGGACATTGGGCATGATAGGTTTGCCACCGTATCGACCTGACCTGAAAACTATAGACGATATAGCGGAGGAGATCGAATCTCACGTGCAGCAGTTTACAATCGAAGAGCTTGAAGAAAAGAATAAGAAGCTTCGACAAGCAGGAGTAGTTGCTTTGAAGCATGAAGATTTTATTGCAACTCCACATGTACGTTAAAGCTGACTGCACCACCTTGGACTATCGCTGATGATATTGCCGTAAGGGCAAAGCAAATGTTGGCCGATCACCATGGTCTGTCACAAATCTAGAGAGCACCACACCACCAATCCAGCTTCCGGCAGACTCTTCTGGAGCAAAACCGCGCGTTTTGCAAGGAATCAAGGTTCTAGAGCTTTGCCGTGTCATCGCTGGGCCGGTAATGGGCAGAATACTGGCAGAGTATGGAGCAGATGTCCTTAAAGTCACAGGTCCTAAGACTCCCGATGTACCATTTTTCCAAATTGATGTAAATATGGGCAAGCGTACCACCGATATTGATCTCAAAACCAGTGAAGGACGAGCTGAGTTTGAGAAGTTGCTTGCGGAGGCGGATATAATACTTGATGGATATAGGCCGGGGACATTTGACAAACTTGGCTACGGCCCCGAAGCTCTCGCCAAGCTCGCTATAAAGCGCGGAAAGGGTTACGTGTATGTGAATGAGAATTGTTTTGGGTATGAGGGAGAATGGGCATATCGGCCTGGGTGGCAGCAGATTGCGGACTGCGTAAGTTAACCTTTACCTAGTTTTCTTCAAGCTCGGATACTTACCACTTCTAAAGGTGAGCGGAGTCGCTTGGGCACAAGGGAGATTCATGGGCCTTGATGAACCCGTGGTTCCCCCGTTCCCCATCTCTGACTATGGCACTGCTGCAATGGGCGCCATCGCAGCGCTGACTGGTCTTTATCATCGAACAACAAAAGGGGGATCCTGGCATGGCTGTGCTTCACTTATGCAGTATGATCTCCTTCTTTTCGCTGTTGGTGAGTATGGGCAGAAAACCCAAGATGAGCTAAGGTCAAAGCAAGATGAGAGTTTTTTTGCTCTACGCCACCAGCATAGCGTCGATCAAATCTCTGGGACCGTATTGAAGATAATGAAAAAGCAGCATCCGCATTTATTCGAGCAATACCGCGAAAAATGGCATTCGGCGGGGTTCAAGGCGGATATATCAATCATTACGCCGGTAGCAGAAATCGAGGAGGTCGAGACCAGCTTCCAAAGGGCGAGTGCACCCAACGGAACCTACAAGGCCGAGTGGTGCTTTCATGAAAATGAGGATGTTAGATTGGGCTAGGTGCTGCCATTCTCGATCCCTTCAGTACCAGAAGGGTTTTCGCATGATAGAATGCTTAAAATAGAAATCAATTCCGATTACCGCACTCTCTCACTTGTGTCTGATATAGAGTACTCTGTAGTTTTATACCACTGAGCCGAGGTGCTAGGCGTTCACCGAAGAACTTGGCTGAAGGTTATTATGGGGTTTCTTAACTGGCTAACAAGTTAGTGACTAGGCTCATCTGCGCAATGAGGAGTAGCATTCAATTGAGCCATATGCTGCCAGCCGCTCTATGAGTATTCATAGCCAGCTGTTGGTGAGGTCCTCGACATTAGTTAGAGCTGCAGTTTGCTGGTATGTAACGCGCGAATCGCCCGACTGCGGAGAAACTCTTCCGATTTCCCTCCCCTCCTCACAAAATACCGAAGCGATGCAGCGACGTGAGCCAGCCCCAGCTTCGGCTCTGTGAAGGTTCGCGAGAATCAGTCGGCCCAGGCTCATCTGCTCCTAAATGTCTACAGGATGCTGACGCCGTCGAGACATCGGACAAGGGTGGCTTGTTTGACTTGCCGGCGCAAGAAGCTCAAGGTAAGCGATACAGGCTCCGCCCACCAGTAAGCCCTTTCACCGCTAATCGGGCGTTATATTGGTAGTGCGATGGCCTCCAGCCTTGTTCAACATGCTCCGGGAAGGCGATAGACTGCGCGTATATGGGTGCGTCAGTTGCATTGCATGAACAGCGCCCATTACCCCCATTTATACCAGCCGCCGGCGATACTCTAGCACCACGAGACAGTATGGCTGCGGCAAAGACAGGAGCATCCGCTTCAATTATTCTACCCACTGCACAACCTCGACCTACTCATAGATTCCCGCCATATTTTCCAGCGATTTCACCGCGCCCGTTAGTTGGAGGCATGCCCGCAGCACCGACTGAATCGCGGAGTAGTATGTTGTATAGCACTACATCTGTAGAGCAAAATGAGGAGGAGTCTCTTGATGAAGCATCTAGGATGCTTCAAGATGGAAGAGGGAGGCTACGTACGTCTAGGCCCATCAGTTTACACTCAAACGTCCCAGTTATGTGCGCCAAATTCTCTCTGTTTCTAGGTGAAGTCTTACTAAAGGCTTCATGAATTACCAGTCTATCTTGGCGATTCGGCCTCTCTTTCGTATCTGGATACAATAAGAAGGCTCGTTGAAAGAACTGTTGGTGTATCTAGATTCACTAGCGATCCTCACAAGCACAGCTTGCTTGAACTATCAATCTCGGCCGGACTGAAAGCGACGCACGTCCTTCCCGATCGAGAAACGGCCGAATTTCTCATCGACTCTTTTTTCTCCAATGTAATGTCAAACTAATCCTCCGTACACGATTACTGTTCTAACTTAATCCTTTAGACAATTGGCATTATGCAGATTTTGGACAGGGATGCTTTCATTGATGAAGTCGCTTCAATATATGGCAACCCCCTACAAGCGGAGCAACCGCGTGTTTGCCTACTAAATCTTGTATTTGCTGTAGGACTGCAAATGTGCCAGAGTTCCGTTGCGCATAGCTTCCGGGAAAGCCAAATTTTGAAGCGGCTCGGTCCAGATCTCACAGAGCGGGCAAAAATATTCTATCTCAATGCCGCCCATTTTAATGATCCTGTTTCGGGCTTTGAGGATGGAGATATTACGTCAATTCAAGCACTGTTGCTTATCACACTCTTTATGCTCACGATTGCGAAGAGAAATGCTGCCTGGGCATATTTTGGTTTGTTCATGCCATACTTTTCGTCCCTCTTCAAAATTTTTTTTGCTGATTTGTACGAGGCATGGCTGTTCGTTCCGCATATGCTCTTGGTTTGCACCGAAAAAACGCATCACTGGGGTTTTCAAGCGCCGAGCAGCGTGTGAGGTAGGCTACACACTGTGCCTTGAAGGGCAGTATCGTACGGTAAATAATCTGGCTAATATTTTTTATAGGAGAAATTTATGGGGAAGTATGTATATACTGGACTGTTTTCTCTCAGCGTCGTTAGGCAGACCAAACGGCATTCATCACCGCGATGCGGCGGATATCTTTGTCGATGCTAATAGGGACGATCAGCCAAATTCTGAGCTAGAGGTTGTCGAAAGGACTGCTCTTCGGGCTTCCGTTCGTGCTGCCCGTTTACTGGGAGAGATTTTGAGCAGTGTATATGCTGAGCGCAAAATATCAGTGAAATTTGTTCAAAAATGCTCCAAACAATTTCAGGACTGGAAAGATGTTTTACCAGCTGCTCTCCATTGGCGTAACATATCTCTGCCCAACGAAGACCCCCGTACAACCCTTGCACAGCTGCATGTTAATTTATATTACTTTCATGGGGTTATTCTTCTCACGCGACCTTTCCTATTACAAAAGATATTGAGCCATGCGCAGTACTCAAAAATCTCCAACGATAATACAAATCTATCAGAGGCAGCAAAGGGGTCAGCAGGCCCTTCTGCACATACAGATTCTTTCTCGGCAGCTTGTGTTCGTGCTGCATCGTATAGCATTGATATCGTTCAGTCAGCTATCCTTAAACGAACGCTTCCGCGCCGGGATCCATTTGTAATGTATGTCTTTTTTCGCTTCCTTATTAACTATGAGTGCTATCTTTCGTTAACATCTCATAGCTACTGGCTTTTTACTGCTAGCCTGATACTATTCTCGAACGTATTTTGTCCCGTGTGCGATGATGTTGATAGTAGCCAGGCCATGGAAACTTCTCTTGATTTGCATCGCTACCTCGCAGAAACCGACCCACTGGCTCAACGATATCTTGAGATATTGACTTCATTCCATGAAGCGATCGGCGGTGTTTCTGGATTGCGGATGACTACTTCTTCCGCGAGAGATACAAATGTAACAATACTCTCTAATTTCTTTGGGGAACAGCCTCGGATAAGTGCCGCCAACCCTTCCTCAACAAACATGCCGATGATGGGTAATACGAATCGATATTCGTTGCATGACAGTCAAGGGTTTCCCGCCAACAACACTCCGCGGTCAGCTGAAATACAGCCTGGAAATAGCGGACATGATATGTTCCAAATGAGCCCGAATATGAGTGTTACCGAAATATCACCCCCAGACTACTCGCTCGATTTTGATAACTTCCTAAGCCTTGTTGATCAGGTTGACGGACAGGCTCACATGGAGACAGTATTAGATGGCACAGCGACTTTTCTGCCCGCTAATGGCCTATAAGAAAACATTTGTGGCTTTCTATTTGGGCAACTCATATATTATAGCCACTGTGCTGCTCCTCGATCGTGACCTCGATCGCATACACGTACATTTCATCGGCTGCCACCCAGCATGGATTGTCGGGCCGGACCCGGCTAGAGTTTGCCACCGGCAAACTTCAAGGTGGGGCCTCACCCGGGCCGGATCCAACCTTGAAGCCCGTCCAAGAGCCTAAAAGGTCTACCAGCAACCCATGCCAGGCCCAGCAGCTTCGTACTTGACCAGCTACTGTTATATCAAAGCACATACAAGGAAAATCGTGCATCATAATGGAGGAAATTGGCGATTTTTTCAAGGCTTTTTTCGAAGCTTCGGATGATGGCAATGCTCACGAGAAATACCCGTATTTTTTTGCCGAGGACGCGAAGTTGATCATGGGCGATAAAGTCGCTGTCGGTCGTGCAGGTAAAACTCCCGTTATGACATCATAACACCGTCCGTGCATTTCATCTGCCAGCCCTGTCGGTGTGAAGAACTGTTTCGATCCTCTAAAAACTCACATTTCCAAACAGATATTCTTACCGTTCGGCAAGGGATGTGGTCCGCAGTATCATCACGGCGCCACACATATACATATTTTACATCACCAGATACCCCGAACACAGTCATGCTCACAGGGAATGTGAAATACGGAATGAAGGATGGAAGCCAGAAAGATACTGATTGGGTGGCAAAAGCTACCTTTGAGGAGGGCGGGAGCGCCAGGAAACTGGGTTTCTACCAAGTTTTTCTTGTGAGTTGGACTGTATTGCAATTTTACTTCGCTTGGCTGACTATGGTTTAGAATGCAGGGCGAAAGTAGGGGGACAAAGGGGAAGCGGTATTTCAAAAGGCATCTCATATTTCTCACTTGTTCTGCGATAATGTTTGTAAAAAAGATTCAATCGCGGACTGGATTTGATCTGGGGCTTCTAAGACAAGCCAATGACCAATACCACTCAAGACATTTAGTTTCTTGATCTTGCTTCCGTACCCTGCTAAAATCTTCTCGCAGCCTGATAATGGCGCAGATTTGTCTTCCTCCCCAGCTAAGAGAAGAGTAGGAACATTAATGCTTGCATAATTTGGTACGGGTGCTTCTGCAATTGTATGGCACAAGGAAATATAGCCCTCTGGGTCATTAGTGATGAGTAGTTGTCGGATAAACGCATGAACCAGGGGACTACACTGTGAACCGGTAGCACTCTGTGGAATTGAATCGGCCATTGCCTCCATGCCATCTGGGAATGTATTAGTCTCGATTATCTGATCAGAAGTGTCGTGACTTACGTTCTTGGACAATCTTTATCCGTTTTCCAAAAGCTTCTGCAGCTGCTGGGTTGGGGTTTACTGGCCCAATCAATACCACGGCTGCAATTCTCCCAATATTATCGGATGCTGCAAGTTGCGATGCTATTATACCGCCCATGCTGTGGCCAACGACAACGACGTTGCGACTGATCTCCAAAGCATCTAGCAGGCCTGTTACATCAGATGTTATACTAGCTATGCTATTCCCGGCATCTGCATGGTACCGAGATGCTCCGCTGCCATGCGTATCTATCGTGATACATCGATGGCCAAGAGATGAGAGATGTGGGATAATTGGGAAATAGAAAGACGAGGAAGAGCCTAATCCGTGGACGAAAATGAGCGTCAACGGATTGGAGGCACTGGAGGTAGTGGGACCAGTTAAAGTGTAGTAGAGAGATTTGGAGTTAATGGTCTTCAATGGCATTTTGAAAGTAGTTCTGCGTGTATTTTGTTGGTGTACTGAGGTTGAGGTTGGCGAAATGAAAGTAGATAATTTAGAGAGATCATCATGACTTGCTAGGCTTGCGGCATGGCATCTCGGGCGTCTCTGGGGAACCCTTCTTAGCGCCTTGGGAGCCATTGTGGACTAGGATGCCCCCCGGTTCAATTCGGATGTCCATTTAACTATGTTGCCTCTGAATGACTAAGGAGTGCGGAGCAATCTAATTCCGACCCCGCAGACTGTGGAGCGGCTATCGGGAAAACAATGTTCCAGAGAGGTCCTCAACTGCAGAAAACAACACGCATTTTCGATGTTCAGTACTAGAAGTCTCGAATAGTTCAGTTTCAATCGAATAACATAATTTACTGATACAGTTGTCATGGTGTGAACTTATAATCAGGGTGATTATGCCCCAGTGCTGCCTGCTCCTCCTCATTTAGTCCCTCCAAAAGATGATCATATTCACCTCTCTCTTTAGGTCTGTTTTGCCATCTGAGATATACTGTTGCCACTGCCATCATGACACAACACAAGACCGCTGCTCCAAAGTTGATCGCGTGGCCCGAGATATACCTGGGTGCATCTGGAAGTAGATATGTCCAGGTTGCCACAAGGGCCCCAAGATTGGCAATGCTGACCACATATGCAGAGCTCACAGCGCGAACATTAGGGCCAGCTGTGTTGTCTACTGTCCATGCTACCAGCATTGGAGAGCATGTGAAAGCCCCTGTAAGGGCAAGAAATGTGGCAAAGTAGCGAACAGCTGGTTGAGTTACTAGGATCAGAACAAGAAAGCCAGCGGCTGTAAAGGGCATAACCCCCAAAAGCCAAACACCCCGGGACTTGGTGCGATCAGAAGCATAAGCAATGCAAAGGCAGACGACGGTCGACCATGCAAATGGCGGGACAGACATCAACTGGGACTGAATAGCGGTGTACCCCATGCTGTTAAGGATAGAGGGTAAGAAGATTGACAGGGACGTCATTGTCAGGAGCGTACAGCTGCATGCAAACGCCATGATGTTCACACTGATGTTGCAAATTGCCATCTTGAAGTGCTTCGTCGAAGTCTTTTGCGGGATGTGAGATTTGCTCTCGTCAGCGATACGCCATGCGGCATATACCCTCTCCTCCTTTGTCAGTGTTGATGCAGTTGCTGGAGAGTTCGGAAGTAGGATATATGAAGCCACGGCAAGAAAGATGGAAAGAAGTCCCTCAAAAAAAAAGATATTTCTCCAGGTGTGGATCATTCCCCATTTGGGGATTTTCGAAAGGCCGGTGGCGAGGAGACCGCCGAACGCACCGCTATTGTGAGAGTTAGGTAGACGTAGCTTGTTCTCTTTGCTGGGGTCCTTACCTGAGCGGGGAGACACTGGCATAAAACCCTACTCTCGTTGCGAGCTCGTGTCTTCGATAGCTATACAGGATTATTAGAACCAGGCTACTAGTTCGATATAGGAAAGATCTTACAATTGTGAGAGAGTGAAGCTTATTCCAGGCATGATACCGGCTTCGAGGGCTCCAAGGAATACCCGAGCAATTATCAGTCCTTCGTATGACGTGATAAATGCAGTGCACATTGTTACGACGCCGAAGCCGAAACTGAGGAAGGAAAGCCAAATCTTGGGCCCAAGCCATTTGCACATCATATTTGCCGGTCTTGAGGAGTCTTCAGCATTGAAAAACCGTCTCAACGAGTGTTTAGTACTTACATCTCTAGAAAAATATAGCTGCAGTAGAAGGCTGTCATCGCAATGTTGAATCGATATCCTCGAAGGTCCAAGTCCTTTGCCATACCGAGAATTCGCGCATTTCCTGCATTTGCCCTGAAATGTCTGTCAGTATCCAATTCCAAAATTTTCTTTGCCGAAACACTTGCCTATCAATAAAGGCGAGCAAGAATATGCCGGTAACAATGGGGAGTATCCGAAAGTCGAATTTTCTTCGAAGCTTTGCTTCAAGGGCTGAGGTATCTTCAAAGTGGCCAGCTTTGCACTCTTCAGCTGCAGAAGCTGTGCCTACTTCAACAATCTTTTCAGACATGACCCTGTAACTAGTTATCCCTTGCAGTCGGTGGCAGCTCCACTTCCGAGTGTGTAGGGTTATTTGAGCTGTGGCCAGTGGTTTATCTCGATTCTTTTAGCATATTTCCTGACCCTGGCAAAATCCATATATGCTGCCGGTCACCCGTACCCCAGACCCCAGATTTTGAGGAAGTCAAAGCTTAATTGATACCAATTGTATGGAGAGGCTCACGCGACTACACTGCAAATAGGGTTCGTGTACCTAAGTCTCTGGTACGGCCAATGAAGGTCCTTTCCGACCGGCTCGGATACACTATTTGCGAGAGCTCTCTCTCTTCGCCACCACAAAAAGATGGCTAGAGCGAGCTCCAAAGTCGAGAACGAGCCTAGACATAATTTTCAAAAATTCTCTCAATGTTTGGTTTCTCTAATGTTTACATGAAGCGCCAAAGGGCGAGAAAAAGATGTAGAGGTGAGGAAGCGAATGATGCGGTGAAAACTGGTTGTAGATAACTCAAAACAATTGTTATATTTCACATATTTACAGGTAGCTTGAGCCGGCTGGCTATATTCATTTGAAAAATATACAATTAACAAACCTCTTCATATAAAACAGATGGATGCCGGATCCAATTTCCGCTATTGAGATTTCTAATTTGAATCTTGTCTCTTCAATTTGAGGTTATACACTACTTCCCTTGTGGCCTGATCATTGCCTTCCAGAGGCTTGAAGTCGACGACTAGGGAGTTTTTAACAGCAAAGACGGAGTCGTCGATGAGGTATTTATCCTCACTGTCAAATATTTGGGTAGTAATGGGCTTATAGTCCTTGTGTGTGGTCTGATGACGAGAGGTTCGGAGTATTAGCAATTTACATGTCCTAATATTTAAGAAACGAGGGAGTTAGCTTACAATTAAATGAATGTGCGCCGGACGCATAGGGTGTCGGTCGAGAAGCTGCAAGATCTTTCCGGCAGGGCCTGAGAAGGTTTGAAGTTAGCGATAATTCAACGGCAAATCTCGAGTATGACAGCCCTACCATCAAATGGAATAGGATATGGTGTTGGTCTCAAGCAGTACATTGCATAATTTCCCTCCTTATCTGTCGTAAATCTACCTCGGAGATTGTAATCCTTCTGATCTGGATCTTGTTGTTCATAGAGACCATTTGTTGAGGCCTCCCACACGTCAATGACCACCCCTTCAATTGGCTCCCCCGTAGTAGAGTCAACAACTTTTCCATGCATGTAAGCTACTTCGCCGTCTTTGGCGGGTGTTTGGATGATGCTTCCTCCGTTTGGATAGTGAGGCGCATTCGTTCTGAAAAAGGGGCCGAGAATCGCGGTGGCAGTGGCAGCATCAGGTGCATTTGCTGCACGGGAGAAGGTGATTTCGTCGACAAGACTAAGGCAGGGGATTAGTTAGCGGCCTGCGTAATTTCTTACATCGCAAGTTGGGATATCCTGCAACGGAAAAGCAAGGTAGAAAACAAATACGTACGATTCCAACCCCAATACATCGCAAATCAACTGACCCTCGTTTCGCTTATCATTGCTCATCTGCCCCGCCCAGTTGATCAGGTTGACACCAGCCATCCACTCGTCCACCGTCAGTTCCACCTCGCGGGCAAAGTCATGCAGATGCCGAATCAGCGCGGCCATCACCACCCGCATGCGCGGATCGGTGTTGGGGCCTGTCGCATTGATCACATTCTCCGTGAAGTTAGGATCGAATTTGTCCGCCATTTTGAGTCTTGTTGTACGGATCCCTGGACCGGAGCACTTTAGATTGCAAATAGGGATGAAACTGGTGGAAAGGGTTAACGTCGGGCTCTTTATGGGTGTTTCTACGACGAAATAGTCGGCATTCAGGGCAAACGGGATGCGGCTCGCCTATCGCATCGCCGCGATAAGTAATGGCCTGAGCGTGCACGGCCAGCGGGTTCCCCATTACGCCAAGGCGCCCGTACCCCGCAATGTTAAGCTCCCGGGACAGGCATTTTCGGAGCGGAAAGGGTCTCGATTGGTGGGTAGTTCCCGGCCGTTGGACCTGGCAAACTCTCATGGGCTGTCGGGAGGCGGTTCGAGCGTTTATTGGCTGCCAAGACTGGTGAAGCTCTATAGCCGGCGACCTCCCGGGCCAATCAAAGCTCGCGGCACCAAATAGCCGGCGGAGGTGACGTGACGCTGCGGGGTTGCACTTTTGGTTTGGCGTCGGGCGTGGCTGCTGTACGGGATGCCCAGCTCATACTTATATGACAGCTGTCGAATATCCGTAGCATTATCGTATGACCTCCTCCAGCCCTTTCTGCCTTGAATAGCCACCACCATGCTTGGAAAAATTACGCTTGAAGACCATTTCAACACCCCTGAGTTTGCCGAGAAGGCAAGATGGTGGGCTGGGTTCTTCGCGACAGATCCTGACCGCCACGTCCGCGAAATCTGCGATATCAACAAGATTCGCATCCAGTATGCGGACGAGTATGGCGTCGGATATCACATTCTCAGCTACACGGCACCTGGAATTCAGGACATTACCGACCCCGCTGAAGCCTTGAGAGTTGCCAAGTTCGTCAATGACTGGACCCATGAGCAAATTAAAGACAAGCCAGATCGTTTCGGCTCTTTCGCCTGCCTCCCCATGCACGATCCTGCGACCGCTGCGGCAGAATTGCGACGATGCGTTGAGGAGTACGGCTTCAAGGGCGCTCTTGTGAACGATAACCAAATTGCTTCAGACGGACAATCACTCATATTTTATGACAAGCCCGAGTGGGATGTATTTTGGCAGACCTGTGTGGATCTCGATGTCCCTTTCTACCTTCACCCCAAACAGCCGACCGGCGTTGTCTATGATACTCTCTGGGCGGATCGCAAATGGCTTGTAGGCCCTCCCCTCAGCTTCGCGCACGGCGTGTCCTTGCACCTGATGGGCATGGTTTCGAATGGCGTTTTCGACCGCAACCCCAAGCTCCAGATCATCCTAGGACATTTGGGTGAACGGCTGCCCTTCGATCTGTGGCGTATAAATCACTGGTTTGAGGATATCAAGAAGCCTATTGGCATGCCCATTAAGAGAACTATCCGCGATTATTTCCGGGAGAACATATGGATCACAACATCCGGCCACTTCTCGACCCCGACTTTAAAGTATTGTATTGAGGAATTTGGTAATGCGGACAGGATATTGTTTAGTACGGATTACCCATTTGAAAACTATAAAGATGCCTGCACCTGGTTTGATAATATCAAGGGGCTTGAAAAGGGGCAAAAGGTCGCTATTGGAAGGGAGAATGCAAAGAAACTCTTCAAGCTGGGAGCGTACAAAGACAGCGAGGCTCCTGTTGAAGACTAAAGGGCAACGCATATGTATTATAGAAATTATTATATTTACGATTCTTATGATTGTCTGTTAGGTTCAGCCTGCCTGCGGCTGGCTCATAGTGCTTATATACTAGTCAAGCCCATGCATACGTCAGGGATAGATGCTTGGAAAACACAAACAGGGTGTATATAGATGAAATTCAAAACTCGCTATTGTCAAAATGATATCACGTCACGTCGTTGAGAAAATCTCGGCTAAATTTTTATCATTGCAAAACACCAATTTATATGCAGCTTCCATGGGGTATATGAAGCAAAGACCGCAAAATTGGATCAACAACTCATATTCGTATGGCTCACTGAGAGGCAAGAAGCAAAAGCAAAAAAAAAAAAAAGAGGAAGAAGAAAAAAACACCCTGTGGGAAAACTCTGTTTTAGGCTGTTTGATTTGGACGGCTAGAAGCCTCCACCGAGAACGGACCAACGTCTTTTGTTTCTAGAGGCGGTGACCCTGGCCTGGCCTTTGACTATTACCCAGAAACATGTTAGCGCCACGATTTCTTCCACCAACAATAACAATAGGTAGATACTGACATTCCTCCCAGGTAAGAGGCTCCTTTGTGAGCTCTTTTGCTTCTCTCCAATTATGGATGCACCATGAAGCTACAAGAAAATCAAGGTAACTTTTATCGACGTTGGCACCAATTTTTAATTCCATCATGGGCGGCGAAACCTCGATCTTGTTCTTCTTATCCCAGCGCCGGCGAGTCTCTATTGCGATGATATGATCGCTCGACTTGTCCCGCCATTCGTACATGGCGGCATCAACGCCAGGGTTCGAAGTCGGGCGAAGGCCGAAGGAAGGCAAGCCGCAACCGCCGGCGCTCCAGCCCTGGCCACTCCTCGTACAGGTCTTGTTCATATAGCCTTTTTTGCCAGACAGACATCGCAGGCCGTCGATTTCGTATTTTGCCGGGCCGAGGTGAAGCTGTGGCGCATCTCGCAGGGCAAAGACATCCCGCTTTCTGACTGGCTGGTCATCTTCTCCTGCAGACGACTGCCGGTCGATTCGGGTTAGGAGAATGCCATTGAGGCTTAGCTCGTGGCCATCGAGTTCGTGCGTCAAGCTGTAGATGGGCTTTGGCTTGGACAAAGACGAGTAGACATGCCGGCCTTCAATGCTCAGCGTTATGGCCTGGCGGGTGAAGAGCGCGTACTGCGACGACTGGGAGGCGGCATCACTGCCCGCAACGGCGGCCTCATAGTCCGGCGGAGGCTCCAGCGGGACAGAGGGAGAATTGTACGGCGGTGGGACCTCGAAAGCCGGAAGCTCGTGAGGATGGTGGAAGCGACATGCAGCTGGATCCATGGTGGGGGCCCAAGCGAGGGTGCGAACAGGTCAGTAGCAGTGTAACATGGGCGACAAGCGCAGCGCGGGTGAGACAGGAAGCACGTAGGAGGCCAGCAAGCCGTGGGAACGCATGGGCACGGCGGATTGTGTGAGCTGGGGAGAGTTGCGTCTGCTCGATCGCTTGTTTTTGAGAGCAATGCCAGGGCTGGGAGGCGTACGCAACCCTCTAGTTCGTCAACTAGGCAGCGCCCAATCGCCCGCACAACGACCCTGCGATGATCTGCGATCTGCGCCTGGCCGGCATCCCAGGGCTACAAACGAGCCAAGCCGGGTTCGATAACACGAGAGGCTGTGGGATGAGGCTGGAGACGATACGACTCTCCTATTGTCTTGGGCTGTCAAGTAACTACGGGGAATCTAAGTACCTAGTATCTCCTGACGCCACTTTTCTGCAACAACTACGCATCCGCCAAAGACGACGTCGCACTTCAAGAGCGCCCGCTGTTTTGCTCAATCCAGTCGCGATATTTGCCTACGCGAACAAACACGGCGGGATGACCGTTTTCAGCGCACTGTTTGCCCCATGCGATCACTCCCACAATCTGTCGGCCTGACGCGTCATATACGGGACCGCCACTGTCGCCCTTGCAGGACACTCGCCCTTTCATACCAGCACAGATCATGGTTTGGGTGATTTCCAGGCTTTCGCCTGCATAATGCGTCGCACAGGTGGCACGGTCCATAACGGGGATCGACGCGTACAGCAATGCTGTGGTCGTGGCGGTGTCTGAATTCCTCGTCCATCCCCTAATTCAACGGCAAATCATTAGCATCGTCTTTAGGCGCCAGCGTTTCCAATACTGACCAGCCTGCTACTGTCACCGTTGAGCCCGCCGCAACATCGGTTCCAGCCGCCGCGAGGTTTCCATAGTCAATTGACTCGCCTCTAGCGATCGAAGACGCCAGGTGCACCACTGCAAGATCATGATCAAATTTTGGCTGGTAATATCTTGGATGAATCTTGTAAGATGAAACGCCAACAGTTATTCCACCTTCAACCCGCGTCTACGAACAAGTAAGTCCTTCGCCGCTAAACATATCAGCTCGAAATGACAGCCTACCAGCGAACCAGCACGAACAGTCAATGTGTTGGTGAGATGGCCTCTGACACAATGCCCTGCCGTGAGAACAAGATTCGGACCAAGTAACGTGCCTCCGCAGTTTTGGACCCCTCCTACTTCAATTGCAACAAGAGCAGGAAATTGGCCCGGTTTTGCCATTGATCCACCAACAATTCTCGATGACAGAACCTTCGCTTCTGATAGGACCCCTGCTATCGAGAGTGCCGGCATTGAAAGCGCAGCTGCGACTGTAAGTAGCGGTGTCATTATGAATAGACTCCCAGGAGCAAGGTAAATAGTAATGCGAAGAGGTTCTCTGAAGCCGTCGAATATACTGGCGGGAGTAGGTGTACTCCATTTTGCAAAGTGCGATATCCGCTTTTATACTATTTTCTTTCGACATAATGACGAAAAAAAGATATAAGCTAGATATCCAGCACGAGACGCTGGCGAGTCTTGGGTTTCGTGTGGGTGATTTGGTGGGGTGAAGATCGAAGAATACAAATGGAGACATCGTCGAATTTTGCGGAGATTTGGGACTCCACGATCTCGTACTATTGAGATGCGTTGTAACGTATCAGAGTTTTTAGTAGAAGTAGCGTTGAGTCCCATACTCTCACATGTAACCCATCATTGCAAGCCGAACATTGCGCCTTATGCTTAGGCTTAGTAAGGTATCCATTTAGCCACAAGGGGGTATCTATTTAACCGAACTCCTAGGACGGTGGTAAGATAAATATCCATGTACGAAGTACGGAGTACGTATAGCTACTTAACTCCGTCGTACTGGAAAATTGACTTTCACCTTAGAATTGGGGCTGAGGTCGAGTTTGTTCTCAATTCACCAATTCGTGCCACAAGCCGCCGCAATACTTAGCGCAAAATCGCAATCGCACAACCACATTAAGCCCCGCCTGGTTGAATAAACATGCCCACAAAGGCCATGGGAGGGTGACATGGGGTGCTGGGCCAGGTAGCCCAAAAGATCCTGTAGCAATTGGTAGGGTGTATCCGAGAGTTGAGGTATTGCATGGCCGTGGCTAGTATTATGCCATCCCATATTGAGCAGAGACACTCAGTACTGCTGATTTAGACAGTATCTCCCGGGAAATAGGACATAGCATCATTGTACTTGGAATGCATGTTGATTTGATTCGGTTTCAGAAGATGCAACTTCAACAGAGGGCAGCGTGGGGGAAAAGCAGAGCCGAATACAAAGTATCGCACAATGCTAGTTGTCTTATCCACAATTTTGGCCACTCTAGGGTCCACAAACAAGAGTACACCAATAGGACTTCTTTTGTATGTAGGTACATATATACATACCTGGTACCTTCCGTCTTCCTATGTAATACATGATGAGCGTGGTTAATTCAAATAGAAGGGGTATAAGACACAATTCCATCTAGAGATCATTAACATATACTACACTAGTATATTGAAATTTCTCTTTATAACCCCACACGAGTGCTCATATGGAGATGGATGAATGGAAATCATATTCTGTTCATTTCAAGTCATCATTTTGAACCAATGGCACCATCTGACACTCCCCGTGAGATATTTGGTTAGACAAAGGGTTGATAGAGCACTCAATCACCCTACCCGCGTTAGGCAAATTGTCATGGGATTTCGGGGTCACGCTGCCAAATGTTAAATTTGTACTAGACATCTTCATGGATGTGATAAAACGCAAAAGTGGATGGAGTCTGAAGAGCCTAAGACACACTTGTCTGAATCTCTTGAGGTTGTGCTCTTAAATATCTTTAAGGTGATCATCTATCCTGACTTCAAAACCCGTCAGACCATGGTCACGATGAGGGATAGCAAGATCACGTCAGTAATTTATTAAACCTTTTGATTAAGAAGTTGAATTATGGAGTAGCAGCATGGGTATTGTAGAATTGCTCCATATCCTTCTCAGCCAGTTTGACTTGTAGTTCTTTGGCTCTCAAAGTAAACAACCTAAGTCCCAAAAGGAGGCATCGATCCCATGACACAGGTATGAAATGGAACATATTTCCAAGGTTCCAAAGATAGGAGATTTTAAGCAAGCCCATGTAGGTCATATCATAGTGTAAGCAGAAGAGATAAAATAAGAAATCTTTTGGTTCAATATAGTTGCATTTTCATGCCTACCTGTTCTTTTTTCCTGTGAATGTCAATATGCAGCCACAACATGAAAGGAGCAAAGAATACCCATTAGTGCTTAAGAATTATTGCACAGCCCAAGTAAGGGGGTCATTGGTATTTGCACTGAAGATATTTGAGCCTATAACCCAGTCATTTAGGCAATGTAATTTGAACGTGAAGATCATACTCCTAAGCCTTGAAGTCTTGATATCAGTCAATAAACCTATGGGTAGTGCCTTGGGCCATAAGGTCCCTAGGCGATCTTCCTCTTAGCTGAGTGGTTGGCCGCTCAAACTTGGGGCTTTAAGGCACAACTCTAGGGCCATGGCACATATCAAAGGAATCAGCATGAAGCTTCTATGAGGTATATCTGTTCATTGAAAGGTCCAGCGGCTGAAAACAGGGTGATAGCCAAGAATACATACCGGGCGGATAAGGTAGCTTAGAAGCCTAGAAATGGTTATCACCGTGATCATGGCGTGGCCCTTTTTATTGAACAAAAATCACCCAACACTTATGCTGATGCAAATGACTCCTAGCTCTTTCAAGTGCTCCTACCATCTGAGAGAAGGGTAGCGCACCGTAGGTTGGGAATCTCGTAGGGCTAAACCTGAATGGAGCGCTATGCAGAGAGCTCTGATAGAAAATAGGGTTAAATCAAAGAGGTATAGCCGGTTTAGCTGGCCTTTAATTCTTGTTAAAGGCAATCACTTTAGATAGCATCTGCTATTTCCTTCTTTTCTGCATTCATATCCGAAAGCTCTGGAGTGCCATGATCGCGCCTGAACATTCCTGCGCCGTGCGATACTATAGACCACCTGTCCAGCGGTGTGAGGTAAAAAACGGTATGGGAAGACTTATAATCCAGCCTGACAGGCGAGGTTGGGTTGCAGTGAAATGAAATATGGACCAACTTCTCTGTTGCGTGGGCAGCTACACCAGGAACCAAGTTGTTTATAAGCCCAGGGTATAAACTTTAGACCAGGCCAGAATCGTGGAAGCGCATGCACCCTGGGCACGCCAGGGTATTATTATTATTCACTCTGAGTAGGGAGCACGGATAGTGGAACAGCAGGCGGTCTAAGCAACTATGATAAGCTCTGCATTTGCCGATGCCCCCATCCATCCCCGTCGTTTCTCAGCATCATCTTCTGGCGGGCTGCGAAGGTTGGTGGGGAAGCTTCCGTCTAACCGGATGGGGTTGGTTCGCCCGCGGACGGAGAAATGACGGCATCTTTGCCGGTGTGCGGCTTGGCATCGCCTCACGCCGCCTCCTCAACGACAGCCGTTTTGCCGCCGTGCCACCTCAGTCAGCCCACACTCCACGGACGTTCGCATCGGCGTTGCCTGTTCGGTGTCTTGAATCTGCATTCACCTAGATGCTACCATGACAGTTGGCTCCCTTGCCGAGAGCACGCCGTTGCGACGCATCAGGTTTTCTTACTTCGTATTTTAAGACATTCGATCCCTCGGGATTCGGGCAGCATGTCACGAATCACAGCTATGCCGCTCTCTTGCCCTCCAATGACCGCTATAGCCATGGAGAAATCTGAGCTATTTTAGTGATGAAGGTATAACTTTTGAGCAGTTTGTTCGGCAAACAGTTGGGCAGATCGGCGCCGGACCTTACTTTTTTCTGTGGGTATCTCTCCAGCCATGGTCAGGTCAGAGCTACTATGATGAATTTCTATGCAACGCCTTCAGTTAGATTCCAAAATCTATCTGCAAGTTTTCGGGTTTGGTTCTCGTTTTTGGCCTTCTTGCCGAGATGCCTGCCAACAATCGCCATTCAGTCTAAAACATGCATCGTCCCCGCCATTCCGTTACGGCCACGGAATAATATGCGCCGGCAATGAGCAAGGGTCATGGTTTACTCCGTACCATTAATTTCTACTGTCAGACCTTGGAGCGACTTTCTTACTGCCTTCAGCTACTACATTATTATTTCCGGTTGATCCGGTCGGGGCGTGGTTAAGCCTCCCATTTCTAAATTTGGTACTCTGATCATGATGTCAGTGCCAAATATCTTCCCCATGCTACGGTTCAGCTTTGATTAGACTTTTGGTCGACCCACGTTGACCTGCCTGTTTATGGTTGATCTGATGTGGCTGCTTGGCCGGAAGTGTGGCGAGCTTCCCTAGTAAACCCGCCAGTCCATTATTAGGAGAGCTTGCAAGGTATGCCACTAATGTATGACTGAGCATATACCTGTTCATGTGGAATGCTGCGGCTAAATCGGGAAACTGGATCTCCGAGTGGTCTTTTCTTATTCGATACCATTACCTGTTGGCTGCTCTGCTCATCGTCGTGACTGTAGCAATACCTCCAGCTAGGCTGGAATTGGTGTCTGCTGAGCGCCCTAGCCTAGGACATGCATCGTATTTCGCCAGAAGACGGGTGCTGGACTGCGTACAGCGATGAAAAAGGTAAGACATGTTTCACGGCCGGCTCCCATCCTTCCCGTCAAAAAAGATATATAAGGGTGGCTGAATACCTCTGTCTGTCTATTTATTCCTTCTCGCCAGACCTCAACATACTCTCCTCATTGAATCCCACATTTTGTATTCTGTCTTTGACATAAACAACCCACAACGTTCCAATATGCTTTTCAGATACCTCTCTCTTGCTGCCCTCGCCGCTACTTCTGTAGCTGCAGGTGGAGTCGGCTCTGCCATTGTCGAAAACCACTGCCCTTTCACCGTCTACCTCTGGTCTGTTGGTGGCTCCATTGGCCCCAAGAATACTCTGGGCTCGGGTGCTGTTTACAAGGAGCAGTTCCGCCGGGACCCCCAGAGTGGTGGAATTGCAGTCAAGATCACAACCGTCAATGATGGTCTTTTCAACGGGTCTCCGCAGACCAACTTCGCTTACAGCCTCACCGATACCCAGGTATTCTACGATATGTCGGATGTCATGGGCGACCCATTCAGAGGCTACACGCTCCTTGCTCACCCATCTAAGGATGGCTGCGGAGATATCTACTGGGAGAATGGTGTCCCTCCAGCTGGAAGCCAAGTCAAGAGCTGCGTGAAGTCTTCCGATGTAACTCTTACGCTTTGCAAGTAAAGAGCTAGCGACATTTAATATGGGACGAACCTTCTCTTAAGGTACTATTTTAACTACTTTCAATATGTACATATAGCCTTCTACTAACACAATTCTAGTGCGAATGATATTACGATGTGATGATTCTTATTAATCACCAGCATGCTGGAACATATGATGGCTTCGGAGCGACAGGGTTGAGGATTTCTGCATTCAGTCTCATTCCTTTCTGTCCAGACTTCTCTCTTTACAAATCCTATGTTAATTAGCATCCAGACTTATCTCGAATGAGGCAGATTTCAATATAATTAGTGTTTCTGGAGAGCTCTCGAATTACGAATTACATAGTATCTTATAGTAGCTAGGCTTGGCAAATGCACATAAACCCGTAGTTATATCTGTACATGGAACCTAAAAATGTGCTCAGCCTTGAGCATTAAAGAGCTGTGTGGCCCACCAGCATCTAGAGTTGCATACGTGATACTCCGTCTGCGCGGGCAGTAGGGTGTGTCATTTCTATAGGTTCAAATAGTGGTAGGACAAGCTGTTCGGCAACTTAACTGAATTAACAGCCTGATTCCTGGAAAATGGCGGCAACAATAGCGCAAGCAACTTGGCCAAGGTGTGACACATGTGCTAAAATTTTACGTATCTGATCTATTTTCCAAGCTGCAAAAGTCGAAGGTAAACACAGTTCCAACAACACGCACAAAATATTGACGGGGTTCTATATGAATGGTAAATTATGTGGAAGGCTGATTCTGACACTCTCTTCGATCTGGAAAGATATTCACATCTAAGACACAGCACTACATGATAACTTCATTCGCAACATCCTATCCATATGGGTCAGTTATTCGCAAGTAATATACCGAAAAGGACAGACGAAAACATACCCGCTTCAGCTCTTTGTAGGGCAAGCAGACGCAATTCTGCACCCTAACTTCGTCACCAACACCACACTCCTTACCCAGAATTGTGATACTTTGAACCTTCACTCCATTTTTGATGATGGTAGTAGAATGGGTGCCAACCGGTATTGGAGTGCCTTCAACACGGGCCCAAGCTCCGACCCGGCTGTTCCATCCGATAATCGAATACAGGACGCAGGCATCATGCTTGATCTCTGCATCCTCAAGAACGATCGACTCCTTGATACGAGCACCTGCACCAATCACAGCACGAGCGCCGATGGAAACGTTGGGTCCGAGTTTAGCGGTGGGATCCACGGTAGCAGTGGGGTGAATGTAAACTGGGGGAACTATCGTAGCTGAGGGGGCTGCAAGCTCATCTGATCCTGACTGGAATGCCTTTTGGAGATAAAGAGCATTGGCTGGAACGGCGGAGCCAGCAGTCTTGATCTGACGCCAGAAGTCCTTCGTCTCGTGCACGAAGAAACGATTGCTGTCAGCAAGATCAGGAAGAATATCCTGTTCAAGGCGAAGTACTTCAGATTTCTCGGCATCTTCGGCTTGCTCGCCCGCATAGGATGACTCAAGATGCTCGGAAGATGGATAAGAGAGCAAGCGTGGGCGAGCGGTGCGGCGTTTTATCGCGCTCTTGATAGAAGGGAAAATGCATTCTGTGGCGAATAGATAGACACCACAATTGATTAGGTTTGATATGTGAGATTCTGGCTTTTCCACGTAGTGCAGCACACGCTTTGTGTGGGTATCGGAGACAATACAGCCAAAATTAGTAGCTGTCTCGTTGCTAACTCTAGTGCCTAGAATAACGGCTTCGGCGTCTTTCTCTTCGAACAGCTTGAGCATTTCGACTAAGGGGAACGAACAGCATACGTCTGCATTGAGAACAAAGAAGCGCTCAGGACGACCCTTGAGGATTGCGTCACGGAAGTGGTACAGGCCGCCCGCGGTACCCAAGGCGCGGTATTCTCTGAGATACTGGATTTTGAACTGGGGAAACTCCTGGGTCGAGTCCTTGATAAAATCACGGAAGACTGCCTCATCATAGTATCCAATCAGGATAACTTCACGAATATCGGGGATTTTCGTGACAGCTTTGAGAGCATGCCAGATGATGGGGTGGCCAGCGACTTCAAAAAGGGGCTAATGGATTTTAAAGTGTTAGTGAACTGTATATCAATTGGCTAGTTACGAATGCAATTCAATCTTTACGGTACCTTTGGCACATCGAGAGAAAGAGGCCTGAACCTGGTCCCTCTGGAAGGTCCTCCGACCTGGTAGCTCAACAGTTAGTAAGCGCACAGACCAAGGGATGGGCAAAGGTCCCACCAGGATGACGGCTTTTGTTGAAGACATATCCGATGTACGCTCTCGGAAAGGAACTTTCAACATGAATTCAGGTGGAAAGAAGGTAGTAAATTGGAGGGGGTCAAAGAGGGTGGTGTGTTGTCTGCGAATGAAACTGGGTTAGCAATTGGCTTATGATAGGTACTATCAGCGCGCCTCTTGGATGGGGCGGCCCAGTGTGTGTAGCAAAGGGATGCGCTAACTACCTGTACTCCGTGTACACACTAAAACAGATCGCAATTCCACACCAGAAAGACAGACTTGCGAGAAGGTCATAGGAGAGCGCAAGTGAAGAGATCGCAACCCCTGGTTGAACCTGTCGCTCCAGAGATGGCGGGTGGGCGCCAGCGAATGACGACACGAACACGTGGTCGGCGGTCTCGGGGCATCCCTTTTCCCCACCAACCCGATCAACGTCAAGTAAAACTTCTAGGCTGCTGCAGGCCAGGTGCAGTGGTCGTGCTTTGACATATCTTGATATACTTGTTTGTATAGCTGCTTGAATTGCACTTTTACCTTCGAGTAACTAGTCGTATTAACTAACTATACATGCATTGTTACCGTCTCACCGAAACTCATTCTAGCTGGAACAACAGTGTATAAAAATGCTCAGTATGGCACAACACAAATTGCCAGAACTTTCTAGCTTTCTTCTGAGAGCTGTTGGAGAAACATTTTTCCTCTTCTGTTCTTTCATTCCTTGCGTAATCTTTACTTTCTTAAACAAAACATGGCTTCCCAACTTATTGCTATACACACTTGGCCGTAGTGTAATTCATTTTCAATCTCGTCAGTCAGATAAGAAGACTCCACACATTTTTCTTTTGCCTTCTTTCCATCATTTCGCGTTTTTTTTTTTTTTAATTTTTGAATTTTTTTTTCTCTTGCGGATTACAAGATGGTGAGCCGTGAGGGCTCGCCATGTAAGTTCTATCTTAATGAGTATCGGATTTTGTGAACCTTGTTGACATGTTCTTCCATAGACACGATATGCGGGGATGCCACTCCAAGGAATGAAACGATTGATCTCATTTCTCAGGATATGAAACTGATGGTTAAAAAAATCCAAGATCTTCGCCATCTAGGAATAGAAAATAGCGGACTTCCATTGCCCAAGATCGTTGTAGTTGGCGATCAGTCAACAGGAAAGAGTTCTCTTATTGAGGGTATCAGTGAAATAAAAGTGCCGCGTAGCTCTGGCTGCTGCACTCGTTGCCCACTCGAGATTAATCTTTCGGAGTCAGATAACCCATGGATATGCCGTGTTTTGCTTATGAAGCGATATCTGTACGTTCCAAAGGGAAGACCAACTTCAAAAAATCCACTAGGACCGTGGATAGAACAAGAACTGGAAGAAGTACTTTTTGATACCCTCACAGACAAAAGCATGCTAGAAAAGGTCCTTAAGTGGGCCCAGATTGCGACTCTGAATCCGGCCCGGTCTCCCAAGGACTTTGGTCCGGATAATGATAACGACACGTATACCTTCACACAGGTGAAATTCTCTCCAAATGTCGTCCGTCTTGATATCTCTGCTCCCGGGTTCCCAAACTTATCCTTCTATGACCTGCCAGGGGTCATCAACGTGGCAGAAATAGAGGAAGAAAAGTATTTAGTCACTTTGGTGGAAAATTTAGTGAAGGAATACATAAAAGCCGACAACACGATCGTGCTTCTCACGATGCCTATGACCGATGATGCGACAAATTCGAGTGCGGCAAGAATCGTTCGAGAGATTCGGGGAGCAAGAGACAGGACGCTTGGTGTGTTAACCAAGCCGGATAGAATTGAAAGTGGCTATGATCAATGGCAGGAGCTTCTTGACGGGAAAAAATTTCTGCTTGGACATGGCTATTATGTAGTCAAAAACAATTCTGACCCCATTGTTACACATATGAAAGCGCGAGAAGAAGAACATATGTTTTTCGCCCACTCTCCTTGGACGACAACTTTTGCTGAATATAGCGAACGATTTGGTACTAGGAAGCTTCAAGCTGCTTTGTCAAATTTATTGCTAAAACAGATTCAGAGTTCTTTGCCGCGCATAATTGAACAAATCGACCAGCGTGCTAAGCTGGTTGACGATGAGCTATGCACACTTCCGGATCCCCCAAGTGCAAATATCCCATATATTTTGTGCCAGAAGCTTAATATACTTATCTGCAATGTTCAAGCCCACATGGATGGCGGTTTTTCCAGACACTTATTTCTTAAACGATGGGGCCAGTTAGCGGTGGAATTTCGTTCTTATCTTGAGAAATCCCGGCCGTCGTTAAAAATTGGGGATAACATAGAAGTTAGAATACCACCTCGCGTTTTTTCTGCGGCGGATGAAGACGACGAGTGTGAAATTATGGAACACAAATCTCCACTTAAACGGAAACCGGTAAATGGTGATGGTGGCGAGTCGAAAAGGCCGAGAACTGGAAGCCCGTCTATACCAAGCCCCATGGAATCGACCCCAGCACGGCCGGCTATGGAATATTTTCATGCTTTTCCTGGTAAGTGCCATGAGGATGTGAACGCGTGTTTTTAATGGTATTAATCATTTATAGTTCCGGCGAAGATATTCACCCCTGAAGACATTCGGAACATAAACATCGATACATATGCTTCTGGTGTTCCGGGTCTTGGTAACCCCCAAGCTGTAGAGGAAATCAATCGTCTTAGTGTGAAACATTGGTTGGATCCGATGCGAACATTTTTGTCTGCCACATACAATATGATGGTCGAGGTACTCATTGAAGAAGTCGACATAGTCTTTGGGCAGTACCAGCAAACCGTATTATATGTTGCTCTAAAAGCCATCATGATGGAGTTTCTTGACTCGATCAAAGTTGAGCATTATCGTCAAGCGACGGAGATATACGACATCGAGTGTTCTAAACCATTTACTCTAGCCGAAGCAAACTTTTCAAAGGCTCAAAAGGAAACACTAGATGTCTTTTGCAGTAAACGCAAAAGTCTTCGCACGAGAGCATATGCGCAGAAAATGGGAGAACTGACAGGAAAGCCTTATAACGAAAAATCTATTTCACCTATGGACCTGGGGAGTGACAGTTTCCAAAAGGAAATGGAAATTATGGCGGTATTACTCTTATAAATTGTTGTTTAGGTGTACACTAACTTTGTGGTAGTCATCTCGTGCATATTATGATATTGCCAGTTCCCGTTTTCTTGATGTGACCTGCCAGTGTATACATACAAAACTCTTTTTGCGTTGTCGAAATGAGCTTCGAGCTGTAATTGAAGAAAAGCTGGGAATTCTGGGTCCAAATGGTACTTTGCATATTTCTATCTTCTCTACTATCTTGCTAATGCGTAAATTTACAGCTTCGGAGCGATGCATGGAACTGATGATCGAGGACGAATCACGACAGAGACGTCGCATTGAACTTCGACGAGAGAAAGAGAAACTCGAAAAGGCGCAAGCTGGGCTCAGGGGTGCTGGAGAAAATTCAAATACCTCTGATCTATTTGTGTGATGGGCGTCTTTTGTGACTTGGGCAAGGGCACGTATGGGCACTTGAGTTCATCCATCTGAAAGAGCTTTGGCAGTTTCAGATTTATACCAGTTCTTAATGGCTAAGTGTCTCAAGAATGCATATGGCTTTATCATAGAACCTTTTCGCCTTTAATCATGTCAGTTTGTAACTAGTGAACGTAGTTCTGGCTCAACGAAAAGTAACAAGTCAGTACAATCTTGGCACGATACCAAATTTCGCTTTTCCTTTTGTAGTCCGTACCCCTCAGAATATTGGTACTGACTCACAAGTCAATCCTGCACACCCTTCGGATAGACTGGGAGTTCTTTCATTGAAACCCCTTCGTTTTACTCCTCTTCTAATTTACAAAAAATTCAAATCTACGCTGCAAGCAACCTCCAAAACGGTCTCGTGAGCAGCTCGCACAATGTCTGAACAAGACCCCGCGGTCCAAGCGGCGGGCAGCGCCGTCGCTAATCTTCACCTCGATGAAGCCACTGGTGAACGCGTTTCTAAATCCGAATTAAAGAAGCGCCAGAAGCAACGCGAACAAGAAAGAAAAAAGGCTGAAAAGGCCGCGGCTGCAGCCGCGGCCGGTGCTGGTGCTGGTTCAGCAGGAAAGAAAAAGAGTGCAGAGGAAGAGGAATCACAACTGACTCCAAATGTGAGCTCACATCGCGTATTTGTCTTACATGCGCTTTCTTGGTTCCATGTATCGGTAGCTATTATGTTAGGCTAATAATTAGCATTGATGCAGCAATACTTTGAAATTCGCAGTGGAAAAATCAACCAGCTCCGCCAAACCAAGAATCCCAATCCCTACCCCCATAAATTCCAGGTCACCGATGACCTTCGCGAATTTCTTAAGGAACATCAATCCCTCCAGAAGGGCGAGCAACTGCGCGACAAAAAGGTTCAAATTGCTGGAAGAATTTACACTAAGCGTGCCGCGGGTGCTAAGTTGATCTTTTATGATATTCGAGCCGAGGGCATGAAGGTCCAAGTAGCATGTCAAGCCCAGGAAGCAACAGGAGGCATCCCGTTTGAAGATCAGCACGACAATTTGAGGAGAGGTGATATCATTGGTATCATTGGCTTCCCAGGTCGCACGTCACCAAAGACTCGTGACGACGGCGAATTGTCTATCTTCGCTCAAGAAGTCATACTCTTGACTCCGTGCTTGCACCAGATTCCTTCGGAACACTATGGATTCCGAGATCAGGAGCAAAGATATAGACAGCGCTACCTGGATTTGATCATGAACGATAAGTCTAGAAATGTCTTCATTACAAGGTCTAAGATGATTAGCTATATCCGCCGGTTCTTCGATGAAAGAGATTTTGTTGAGGTCGAGACTCCTATGATGAACGCTATTGCAGGCGGCGCTACCGCGAAGCCATTCGTTACCCATCACAACGAGCTAAACATGAATCTTTTCATGCGCGTAGCCCCAGAGCTCTATCTCAAAATGTTGATCGTTGGCGGATTGGAACGTGTTTACGAGCTGGGTCGTCAATTTCGAAACGAAGGCATCGATCTTACCCATAACCCTGAATTCACGACATGCGAATTTTACTGGGCGTACGCGGATGTTTACGATCTTATGAATGTTACTGAAGAACTAGTCTCTGGTCTTGTCAAACATATTACTGGAGAATATGAGACTGTTTTTCACACACAAACTGGAGAAGAGTATAAGGTAAATTGGAAGGCTCCCTGGAAACGCATTGAGATGATCCCTGCTCTGGAAGAAGCCACTGGCGAAAAGTTCCCGCCTGGAGACCAGCTCCATACTCAAGAAACAAACGAATGGCTCAAGAAACTTATCAAGAAAGTTAATGTTGAATGTTCTCCCCCACAAACCAACGCCCGTATGTTGGATAAATTGGTTGGTGAATTTATCGAGGAAAAATGCATCAACCCCACTTTTATTACAGGCCATCCCCAAATGATGTCTCCACTTGCTAAATACCACCGTGACCATGTCGGGCTTTGCGAACGATTTGAAGCATTCGTATGCAAGAAGGAAATTGTGAATGCATACACCGAGTTAAATGACCCCTTTGACCAACGACTGCGATTTGAAGAGCAGGCTAGACAAAAGGATCAGGGTGACGACGAAGCACAACTCATTGACGAGAACTTTTGTACTAGCTTAGAATATGGCTTACCACCGACTGGAGGATGGGGCTTGGGTATTGATCGTCTTGTTATGTTCCTGACAAACAACTATAGTATTAAGGAAGTCCTCGCTTTCCCATTCATGAAGGAAGATAAGGTAGCTTCGCAAAAGGAGCATTTTGCTGCGGAGGTTGTTGGTATTCAACCAAGTCCAGAAGAAGGGATTCGTAAGTACTCTGTATTGCTTTCTTTTCCTCTGTTGCCTCCAACTATGCAATACTGACTATCGTACCAGCCCACAAATGAATGTTTTTATGTTGGATAACAAAAATATGTATCTTGGGGGATCTAAATTCACATTGGTGGACGTTTTGCTAGCCTAAACTGTCTCCTTCCTTGCCATTGAACCATGGCTCTACAGCAAAAAAAGAAATAAACCAATCACTAAGAAAGAGCTTTCCTTTCTTCATATTTCAGACTGTTAGCCTTTTCCTTTTTACCTAAAGTCACTGTGCAATGGCATAGAGACGGTTTCTTGGTTCCATTTAAATACATATATATCCATCGCCTTCTTTGGAAATTGGGATAGCTATGCTTCCTTTCTTAGACCCAATTTATCAATACGGATAAGATTAAGGCGCTACAACGCCCCAGAAAGTCGATTCATCATCATCGAGTGGCTTTTTGTGGCTTACCTTTCTCGACAGCATAAACACGACTTAGGAACACTTAGCTATGAGAATTTGTGGGTGCTTGGTATTTATCTTGTCATACATAGCCCAATATGTTCTACCCTAAAAAGGTGGAAGATATTGCCCAAAAAGTTGCAAATTCCCTGGGTTATATTGGATATACCATACAGTAAGTCCAGAAGTCAAATGATAACAGTTGGGGAAGTTTTCCAGTGGAATATGTCATGTTTAATGTCATCAATACCTCAATAGTGATAGTGAATTTGACTGAGAATGCCGTTTTGTATTCACTGGCTGGCGCCGAAAATTATTCATTTGCGTTCACTTGCCGAGCACTACCTACTTATTTGCTCTTTCTGACCCAGGAACTCTCCAAGTTCCTGCATCTCCACTATTGTTGCTCTATATTATTTTTTGTATTTTTGCAACGATTTTTGACAAACTTTTTTGTCTTTTTGACGATGTGGACAGCATAACAACTCAAGTGATCATTTCCTTCATTTGTTACTTTTTGAAAGTACTTTTTGCGTTACAAAAATACTCTTGCCAACTATTAAACAATACATAGTGAGTACTTGAAAATGTCGTCTACACATTCTTGAACCTTTTCCTAATGAAACCGCCTTCCTTACTAGCTTCACGCTGAATTCATATTATTCCTTAAAAAATGGTTTCTAGCAGTAGGGAGCTAGATAACTGTGCCGATGCCTCCAAGCTTTCTGCGAGTCAGGACATCACCATGGGGAATATCGTCTCAGTTGAAAGAGAATCACAACACCTCTTTTCTGAGACTGTTTCTTCCGTCAGTTCTCTTTCGGATATTGACGATGAAGAAACAGATGAATTTCGCCACACTATTTTCAAGCCAATCAAGATTCATACAGCAAAGTGTGACGTTTGCAACCTGCATAATAAATGCACTCTGCGACGTTGTATAGATTGTGGTTGGCAGATTTGTACTCCTTGTTGGATTGTCAGAGGTGGAAATGGCACACATGGAGTGTCTCGTAAATTTAACGGGCCAGTCTTTGATCCCAATGCACCCGCATCTAACGAAAGAGAACATGGCAAAAGAGCTTCCGACAAAACTTCCCAGTCTTTTTTTGAAGAGGTCGATCCAGCAGTATCAAAGTCCAAGGTCAAAATCGAAGATCAAGAAAACAAGTCTGCCATACCAACGCGTGAGCACAATACAAATGTATCTGGATACCGTGTCCCTACAAAAGGCAAAGCGAGGGATAAGGTGAACGATATAAAGACAAATCAACGTAGGCAGGTTGAGAAACAACCAGCTCAAAAGTGGCCACTCGCAAAGCAGAAAAGAAATAATGTCAATAAATCAAACGCCTCCTATAGGGTGCCTAGAAATGGCAATGCAATGCGGGATTCACGAGAAATGTCCCCAGATGACCCAAACAACCCCATGTTTTGGCTTTGCGTTGCTGCACAAGAAGTCTTGGATCAAGCGGAGGAGGAGGTAGTGGACACCCAAGAACTACAACGAGAAGACCTACCTATGCTATCTCAAGGAGTCTCCAACGCCCCAACATGGACTGCTATCAATCGGCCTACCGTTCGATCACCCCTTTTCGTCCCCATGGATATTGCAGATCAAAATAGTCAACAGCCACTCTCCCGACATCCTTTCTATCAGCACGGAGTTGTCCCACGGCACCCGAACATTCCGCCAAACATATTCTTACGGTATCAAAATCGTCTAACCAGACGTGCCGGGCTAGAAAGTACCGACGCAGGCATCGGGCGGAGAGCGACACCCGCTTCCCAAATACCCACCGCCAATCCTGAATGGGGTTTGACTGAAAATGGGTCTTGTCGACTCATTCAGCCTCCTTCCCAGTCTGCATATTCAAATGCCTACATAGGCCAAATGTGGGATGAGCCATACGAAACTTTCTCATCTGATGTCCAGTTTCCAGACTACCCCCCACTAAACAATGAAGTTCCAGATGGCAGGGCACAATGTAGTACCCGTGGCCGTCCTTGGGACCTTTGATCCTTCTTGGACGTTGCTGAATGAACACATGGCGAATTTCCTGTAACCTTTTCGTCTTTCGTGATTCGAGTTCCCAAGAGATTTCCTTTCTGTTAACCCTGAATCTATGATCACCCTGTCATCATATAAACAGCGAACGATTCGCGTTTATGTGACCGAAGTCCATCTGTTTATCTTAAAGCCGCAAAGTGTTTTAATTGTGCTCTATTTTGCTGAGTAACTTCTCCATAATTTGGACCTTTCGCTTCGAGGCTTTGAGATCTGAATAAGTTTTGCCCATATTTCCTCCTTGTTTTAGCGTTCATTTCCATTATCTTGCCACTTTTTTAAGTTTTGTTTTGTCCTACCTTAACCTTATGAAATTGCTAGTTATCCCTTTCCGATTATCAAATAGCGATGCTATCTACCCAACTTACCAGGACGCATAGTAACGACCAATATCAATTCATGATACCCTTCCTCCCTTACTTTCGCAATCCTGTTTTCGATTTTCTCATATTAAATGGAGTTCCATTGGTATTTGGCCTTTTTAGTCATTAGTACTCCGTACACATCTATCATACAATGGCGTTCGGTGCCTGTCGGTTAACGAATTCAGTATGTGCCTTCAACCACATGTGGTTGGTAGAAAAGGTATTTATTAAGAACAATGAAGAAGTGGAGAGATCATACAGTATACCTCAAGGATCTGGGTTTAGAGGAAACAAAAGTTGTAAATAGGGTAAGATATTAAGATCCCTTAACGAGAGTAGGGCGTGCCCGCGAAACTCCACCCTCTTTGATTTTAGTAGCTATTTGAAGTAAACGGGCAGTTCGAGAGGGATGCCAAACCCTGCTGCCAAGGACAAGTACCCAGGTCAACAGGAACAAACTTCCCGCTTGATGGGCTGAAGCAAGATGGATAGGAACGAGATATAGAAGCGTGCTGATTCCAAGGCCAACTTGCACCATGGTGAAAGCTACAACACCGTGAACACCTTTGGAGGCTACCCGGGGAAGTAACTGCCGCATCGTTGGTAATTTAGAGTATGCCCAGAGGCCCATCACAGAGGAGAAAGTAGTCATGGCTAGAATACGGTGGTCCAGTTGAACCAATGAGGGATTTTCTAGCATATTTCGCCACCACAGATCTGACCCATCCGCTTTACGAGAATAATGTGAATCGAAAAGCTCTGATTTTGGAGGCGCTAATCCGTTGCCCATGGTGGGGAATTCGTTATAAATGAGACCGGCATCCAATCCTGCAACAAGACCGCCCGACATTGCGGTGCAAAACACAAGAAGGGCGAGTCCAGCGACAGACCGGCGGAAGATATTCAGTTTTGGATTCCGTAACGCTTCTAAAATTTTCAATCCTTTCTCAGGGTCTGCAAGAAGTCGGTGCTGCCGGAGAATTGCCAACCCATTCCAGAGCATTGCCACGTAACAAACAAAAGCAGCACAGAGGTGAGCAGTAAGTCTGTATTGGCTCACGCGTGGGTGACTTCCTGGGGCGAACAAATCATCCTTGAGGCCGGATTTCACCATCCACCAACCAAGGAAGCCTTGAAAGCCAATTAAGCCAGCGATACCAGTTAATCGAAGGGCCATCGGTTTAGATACTTTTTTCGCCATGGTGAAGTAGATGGCTGGTATCACAAAGGATAACCCTACAAAGCGCCCCCAGATGCGGTGAATCCATTCCATGTAGTAGATGTTCTTAAATTCAGCAAGTGTCATGTTCGGATTGAGTACCTTATACTCTGGGGACGCTCGATATTTAGCAAACTCTGACTCCCAATCTTCCGCGTTCATTGGCGGCAGAGATCCAGTCACCGGCCTCCATTCCGTTATACTTAGCCTGTATAGCTGTTAGTTATGAACTGGCTGGGGTCTCGATCCGTTATGATTATAACATACCCCGACTCCGTTAGTCGAGTAAGTCCACCAAACACAACAATACCAAATACGCTGGCAGCGCTCCCTAGGAGCCAGTATGCCACAATCTTTGAGCTAACTTCAGGAAACCGGGTTTTCGACGCTATACTTGCCTCCGCGGAGGCAGCATTCATTACAGTTTGAGATATATTTCTGGTTCTAGTATTTGTACTTCGCCATCGTCCAGCCTGAGCGACTATCGAATTGAGTCGGAAGGGTTTTCGAAATGCAGCTGTTCCCATTAATTGTCGGGGAATTCGGGAAAGGAGTGGTCGGGCTTGCAGACATTGTCGACAGGTGAAGAACTCTCGAGGAAACCTCCAGCTCGGCCGGAACATCGGGACGGTAGAAGGCAGAGAAGCCATTGAGCCTGGCATAGAAGCCTTCTTCATCAACGTCGCGACCATTTGATTCCCATTCTCTCAATTCCGGCTAAACGCAATATCACGTGACTGGTCAGCAAGCTCCCGAATAGGCTTTACTTTAATCCGGTACTTCCAACCAGCCATGTGCTTGGTATTTCAAACACATTGTCAACGTGATATCGTATTCAGTCGGGCCGAATAGCGCAGCCGCGAGTCTCCGAGATCGCAAGCAACATCGGCTGGTGCGTCCCCTATCGAAATGACATTTCAGGAGAAGATTTTACTTGGAATTGCTCCAAGAGCATATAATTGATGGATATCAACCCTATACATACAAAGAAAGAAAAATGAATCGCTGTGGCAGACGCTATTATATACGTGAAGAGGAAATGCATTAAAATGTGAAGAGACTTTTAACAGCATTACACCAAAGTACCGCGGAGAGCCTGCTCGCGCTCAATCGCCTCGAATAGAGCCTTGAAGTTACCGGCGCCGAATCCAGAAAAGTTGTTTCGCTGGATGATTTCGATAAAGACCGTTGGGCGATCCATGAGGTGCTACATTGCACGTTAGCCAGCGTTCACCTTATCTGAAATATGGAACGGCCATACCTTCGTGAATAACTGGAGAAGATAACCGCCCTCATCAAAATCGATGAGAATATCCAAGCTCTTTAACGTCTCAAAATCCTCCTCGAGGACCATGCCTTGTCTCTTCAAGCGAAGCTTCATATCTTCATAATAGGTACTTGGGACCTTGATGAACTCTAAGCCTCTGGCTTTGAGGTTCGTAATGGCATCGATAATATTGTTGGTTCTGAGAGCAATATGTTGAACACCAGCGCCGCTATAGAAGTTCACATATTCCTCAATTTGCGATTGTTTCTTTCCCTTAGCAGGCTCGTTAATTGGCATCTTGACAACCTCATTTGGCGATGCCATGACGATACTCTTCAGGGCGGAAAATTCACTGTAATCAATGTCAGCTGGCACTGTCTCCAGGAGCTTTATTCTTACTTACGTGCAGATATCCTTGTCATCGACAGACCAGAACCGGTGGAACCCAAGCACCTTCTCATAGCTACGCAATATTAGCCCTGACCACATATTTCCTCGTCAACGAACTTACTAATCACAGACTCTCTCCATCTCATCCCAGTCTTGGTTGCCAACGCAATGATCTATTCTCTCGAGCACAACATTGGGGAGCATTTTGGAGACGGGGTCGACAGTATTTTCCATTCGGTATCCGGGCATGAATCCACCCATGTACCCGGATCTCTCAATCAAAGTGTGAGTTGTCTCTCCATACGTTTGGATAGTAGCCATCTTGATTTGGCCGCTCTCGTCTTCAAGAGTCTGAATATCCGAAATGACTTTAGCGCCATTCCTTACAGCGGCCGAGAAGACAGCCTCAACAGAGTCCACTTCAAAGGCAACATCCTTAACACCGTCACCGTGTTTCTCAAGATGGGCATGAATCTCTCGTAAGTGTTGCTCTTCTTCGGGAAAACGTGAAGCGTGTTCAAGAGATCGAAGAGGCGAGGTCAAGACGAATGTGATATTTCCGTTTCGGATAACATGCGAAGCAACCGCTTTTGAACCGGTTTCTAACCCGCGATAGGCGATTCTTTCGAATCCCATACGAGTTACATAGTAGGTGGCGGCCTGCTTGGCATTCCCGACATACCAGTGAACGTGGTCGTATCCTCTATACTGGGAGAGGTCAGAGCCATTAGTAGGTGGGAGCGGAGGAGAATCAGCGGCAGGAGCCATTTTGGATTGTGGTGAGTGTGAAGAGTTGTTGGGTGGTGGTGAGGAGATAGAGAGGGTGAGAGTTTGAACAGGAAAGTTTGTGGGTTATCCTTGACCAAATATATTCATTTAATGGAGTACTGCAGCTCACATGAGGGCCTGTCGTGCGGCTTGTACCGATAATAAGATGCCGCCTCGCATAATATTATCTTCCTGTCGCCTTCTCCAGTTTGCCGCGACGCTTCGTTGCCCCGGACTTAGCGTTTTGGCTTTTGGAATCCCCGGCGGCGTCGGAAAATCACGGGTATTTCGTTTCAACCAATCAACGTCCTTGCCGGGGCCGGGCTGAACCGTGCAACATCCCTGGCTGCGTTACGTCAACGGCTATTCTTGACCTTCGGCTGTCGGCTGGTTAGAAATCAGTCAGCAATGGCTGGATAACACTGGATATTGACAAGGATACACGGCATTGAAGGGCTGTCTTTTCGGGACAACTGTACTGGCAATATCTCCGACTGTTAACGATTTCGGAGGACCCCAGAGTGACAATACGATTGTTCTCACGAAGACCTGCCACCCAGCTTTGCATCTTCTCACTATCGGACGAAAATGGCGCCCGCACCATTTGCAGCTGGTCTTGCAAAACCAGATCTCTCTTCAAATGATTCCAAGGTGCTCCAGGCACTGTTCGACGCCGAGTCGTCTCCTTCGCCAGCTTCAGCGACGGTGCAAACGGACGAGTCGCTTCCTCCACTTCCACACATCTCTGCCTCGGAGCTTCCTGATCTACAGAAGCGCGAGGCTCATGCGATCGGGAGCTTGCAAAACCCAGACATCTCCCCATCCTTGGAGGAAATCAACACTGCTATCTCACAGCTATCCGTTATCATTACACACCACCCTAAATATGCCTCCGCATACCTTAACCGTGCCCAGGCGCATCGGCTACTCATCGACATCCGAAACAAAGAAACATCCTCATCATCATCTGCCCCATCAACTCCCACGCCAGCGACCCAACTTTTCTCCGACCTCGCCGATACAATCACGCTATTGACCCCAAATTTGCCTACATCTCCCACTTCCCCACTACAGGCACGTCTCCTCGCAAGCGCACATACACATCGGGCCTACATCCTCTACAAAGCTGCTCGAACCGAGACCTCAGCTGAAGATCGCAAAGACCTCCTTCCACAGACACTACAAGATGCAAGCAACGAACGCCTTGAAGAAATGGCAAGCTTCGATTTCCAAGCTGGTGGAAGATATGGAAATCCCGTCGCGAAGCAGATGGCTGTACATACAAATCCGTATGCAAAGATGTGTGGAGCTATTGTCAAGGACGCCATGCAGGCCGAGATCAAGCAGTGGGCAGATTCAAGGTAGCACCTGTCAAATATTTTTTTTGTGTTGAAGCAATATTTTTCGTATATTTTATATTCTCGCTTTAGTTTTATACGTTTTATACCTTGTACTTAGCGAACCGTATTAGACTTTCAATTTGAATACTACACCCTCATGCATATGCTGGGTTCCCGAATATAACTCGACACTAGCTTTCGGCGGTACCGAGTACCCGGGCAGAAATATTCTTATGCATGCTGTGTAACAGTGCATTGTCACATAAGGGCCGGTGGCTTTGCCATAAATAATATATATTCACGAGGCTTTCACCAGTTGAGATTTATAGAGCCAGGAACAATAAGCCGATAGGATCAGATGTGTGCTGTTCATCCATTCATTTCATCATAAGTGCCATAAAGATATATGGATTATCAGACAAGGAAATTAGAAACTAGGAAATCAAGATATTAAAGTACATTTTCTAGCAGAGCCTCAACTGAAATCGTTGACACACGTCTCTCTGGATTTAGAGATTGATCCCCCAGAGTGAAAATATATTGGTACGCTCATTGCTTTTCTGGATTCTTAAAGTTCCTCTTCAGGGGAGTCCAGCTCTCGTCATTATAATCCTCTTGGACCTTCTGGCAAGTCTTCAAGCCCCATTCTGAGACACCAACCATCAGGCAACTATGGCGTTTTCACATGTCAGCTGGCTACATGGCAAAACAAAGTATCTTAGTAGAGTGTTTTATCTCACCTTTCAAACATGAACGCTAGGCTGCCATCGCCGACTTTCTTTGGTGCCAACTCCATATTACTAGCACCTTCGTGTGCAGCAGCATCCGGGCCGTGGGCACTCATAACATTGTGCAGACTGGCACCTGCCGGTCTGAAGCCACCACCTACTTTTGCATCATAGTCGCCACAAATTAGGCCCATAAATTCGGACATTGTGTTGCGGTGGTACCACGGAGGCCGGAAAGTCTCTTCCGCCACTAGCCAGCGGGGCGGGAAGATAACAAAGTCGGCAATGGCGGTGCCAACATGGTCGGAGGGACCAGTAAGAACAGTGAAAATGGAGGGGTCAGGATGGTCGAAGGAGATGGAGCCAATGGTATTGAACAGACCGAGATCGTACTTGTATGGGTAGTAATTGCCATGCCAGGCAACGACATCGAAGGGTGTATGGTTCTGCTTTGCGGAGAAAAGGTTGTTGTTGAATTTGCTGATGAGGTTCCATGCAACGGGCTCTTCGCCCTCATCCTCAAAGGAAGCAGTCGGGGCCTGGAAGTCACGGGCGTTGGCTAGGCCGTTAGAGCCGATTGGGCCGAGTTCAGGAAGCTGATAGTGGCCTTGGTAAAGTTCGCAGATGTAACCCCGGACAGGCCCTTCTGGCAGGGTAACGCGATACCTAAAATCATATCAATATGATATTCATACTGTAGGTAAGCGACTAGATGGTGGGGGCGCACCGAATACCACGAGGGATTACACAGATTTCATTAGGTCGCACCAGGAGACGACCCAACTCGGTCTGAATATCCAACACACCATGCTGAGCAACAATTAAAAAGTCGCCATCGGCAGAATAAAAAGCCTCATTCCCCATGTCTTTTCCAGCAGCAAAGAGTAGGATACCAAGACCCGTCTTCATTGCAGGGTCACCAGCACCAGCAACTAGGTGCAGGCCTCGGACCCAGTCTACATTCTCATCAAGGTCGAATGGGTTCCAGCGAAGCTGGTTTGGAATCTGACGAAGTGACGAGACATCGCTGGTGAGTGAAGTATGATATGTGGAGGGATCGACGTCTTCAAATGGCTCGTGCGCTGCAGAGGGAAGAATACGATACAGCCATGTTTGCTGGTTCTCGTGCCTGGGAGCGGTGAAAGCAGTGCCGGAGAGCTTCTCAGCGTAGAGACCAAAGGGAGGTTTCTGGGGCGAGTTTTGTCCGATGGGGAGGGCGCCTTTGATGGCTTCGGTCCTGCAGCAGGTGATCAGCCGGTGGGCATTGCGGAGAGCACGACGACTAACTTACTCGTGATAAGATGCAAAGCCGTTCAGGTAAGCGTACTTCTCGGAGGTTGAGAACGCAGTGCCGGGCATGATCACAGAACTGTCTGTGCGATGGTGGTCGCGGTGGCTGTGCGACGGGTTGGAATGATAGCGGAGAGACGGCGATGTTGCTGCTGTGAGGTTCTTATAAAAGCGACACGCACCCAGCGCGGACGGCAATTTCGTGCCATCGCGAGGTACCTCAGACCGGGTGGTTGCCGCAGCCACGTCCAGGTACCGCCAGATCGCGGGGGACTGAGGGCGGAATTCCACGCGCCGGTTGGCGGGGGGAAGAGGGCGCTAGGCACAATTGGGGTTAGCAATTACATAACGCCGGATTTAGCCGGGCGGGGCGATTCCGCATTCCGCGTCAGGTGCGGCTGATTGGCTGCGACGGCAGATTACATCAGCGCGGGGAGCGGAACGGGTGCTCATTGGGCGACGCGGGCACCTGCGCGGGGTTTCGTTCGCGCTCATCGTGAGTTCGTCGCAGCAAATCCGAGCCGCGAAAAGGCTTCACCCGCCCATGATCTTCCAGTCGCTGTATCTCGTGCACCTGTTCTGCAAGTCCCCTTCGCTCTCCTCGTATCTGTCGTGCTCAATTGCTACCACTATCCGTCACTTCTCGCATACTTCGTCGCCCATCATGGCTCAGTCATGGCTTGATATCCCCCGCAACTCCCCCTTCTCTCTGGCCAACATCCCCTTCGGCATCATCTCAACTGCTTCCTCCAATACCCCGCGCCCTGCTATTGCCATCGGCGACTACGCCTTGGATCTCTTCGCTTTTGCTTCCGCAGGTGGCTTCTCCAAGCTGCCGTCTTTCCAGCCTTATATCGAAGTCTTTGCCCAGCCCGTGCTCAACGACTTCGCCTCTCTAGGTCGACCTGTTCACCGCCAGGTTAGAGAATATTTACAAGAAGTTTTCCGGGCAGAGACATCCCACCCAGACATTCTCAAGAACAATGAGACTCTCAGGAACTCCGCTCTTATTCCTCGAGCCAATACCACCAACCACTTACCCATGAGAATCGGTGACTACACCGACTTCTATGCTGGTCTAAACCACGCCTTTAACGTCGGCGTACTGTTCCGTGGACCTGATAATGCTCTCCAACCCAACTACAAGCATCTCCCAGTTGGTTATCATGGTCGTGCCTCGTCCGTGGTGGTCTCTGGAACCCCCATCCGCCGCCCCAACGGTCAGATCCTCGCCAACCCCGCCGCAGACCCCAAGGTTCCCATTTTCTCGCCCTGCAAGAGACTTGATATCGAACTTGAGCTTGCTGCGTTTGTGGCCACCCCAAACAAAATGGGTGACCCTGTCCCCATTGCAGAGGCAGAGGACCACCTGTTTGGTGTTGTCCTGATGAATGACTGGTCTGCTCGTGATATCCAAGCTTGGGAATATATCCCACTGGGGCCTTTCAACGCCAAAAACTTCGCCACTAGTATCACACCGTGGGTCGTCCTCATGGATGCACTCGAGCCCTTCCGCACTCAGGGTCTCGAACCTGGGAATCGTGACACGCTTTTGCCGTACCTCCGGGAGAGCAGAGCCGACAACGTCTATGACATCCGCCTGGAGTTCGAGTTGAAGAACAAAGGTGGCCAGCCAACAGTGGTGGCGAAGACTAACTCGAAGAACCTACTTTACTCATTCTCTCAGATGCTGGCGCATCACTCAGTGACTGGGTGCAACATGAATCCTGGTGATTTGCTCGGCAGTGGTACAATTTCTGGAAAGGAGCCTGGTACATTTGGTAGTCTTTTGGAGAATACAAATGGCGGAAAGACGACCATCAACTTGGCAGACGGTAGCGAGAGAAAATTCCTCGAAGACGGTGACGAGGTTATCCTGCGAGGCGTTGCTGGTGAAGAGGGAAGCTACGTCGGATTCGGTGACTGCTTTGCGGTGATTGAGCCGGCTCATACTATGAACTGATGTGCTCTTGAACCGGGTTGACTTCGTGTATATTGTTTTCTTCAGTTAGGCTTATGATATGGTCCAAAAGTAGGCATACAATTATCAGAGTTGTAGCAAAAATAAACGAACTTTTCATGATTTCAACTTCGTGGCTGGAGCTGGTAGCTAATAGACGACCTTCACGCTCTCAACGTCTCGGGCGTGTCCTCTTGGTGCTGCCAATGTGCCTTCTGCACAGCGTCTTCCTTCATCATCTCATCAAACACCCTCTTAACGAGGGGAAGCCGGCTGAAGTCGACGTTCACTCTCTCTGCGGCCCACACAGCCGGTACGAGGCAGACATCGGCCAGCGTGATCTCATCTCCCACGCAATACTTTCCCGCACTGCCCTCCAGCGTCTTCTCCAGCGCCTCGAATCCCTGCGTGGCCAACTCGCAGGACCACGCCGCCGGGTCGCCCTGCATGGCCTTGACCTTCATTTGAATGCGCAAATTCGTCACCGGCTGGATATCACACCCGATTAGCAGACACACGGTGCGCACGCGGGCGCGCGCTACGGGGTCCGACAGGGGTGGGAGAAGAGCGCGAGTGCCAGCGGGCATGCATTCTTCGAGATACTCGAGGGCAGCGAGAGACTGGCCGATGGTAAACGTAGCGTTGGTATCTGGGTGATGGCTGACGAGGAGGGGCACGGTGCCGGAGGGGTTGAGAGCCTTGAAGGCGTCCGACCTCTGCTCGCCCTGGAGGAGGTTTATGAAGTGGCGGGTGTACGGGATCGCCTTCAGGTGAAGCGCGATCCGCAGCCGGCCGGAGCAGGAGGAGCGGAAGTAGCCGTAGAGCTCGAACTTGGGGGCCGCCATGATGCAGGAGGTGGTGATGCGACGCGGGCTGGAGGCCGGATAGACGGTTTGGTTATATTCTGGCCCGTCTGCCGCTCCCGCCGCAGGGTTTGGCTGGCTCGCCTTCGCCTCGTCTCGGCTGTTCTCGCGGATCGCGCGAATCGCCGGAATCCGCCCGCAGTGAACACTGCCGCTGGCTTCCGTTACAAAACGGCTGTGTGAAGCTGGTGATGCTCTCACTTCTGTCGCATCCTAAGAGAGACGGTGAATTCACCGGCTGACCAGCTGCTCTCTTTCACTCAGACTCATTCCCCTTGTTTCGCCCATTCATAGTTACAGTTGTTTTCCGTCTCAGCTCCTTCATTCTCACCTCAATTCACTTTTGTTGCATCCATTAACTCATGGTTAGTTGTTGCAAGGGAGTCACCATCTGGTTCTCAAAAGGCATATAAGGAGTCTGCCCTCCCTCTTCCTTCTTCTTCTTCTTCTTCTTCTTCTCCTCCTCCTCCTTCTTTCTACAAATACCGGCTTCAAGGATACTATATCCTGTTTTCATTCTCACCCTTCGGCTATAACAGTATAATTCCTTCTAACCGGGGGCTATCAGATTTATCATTCCAGATATGTTTGAATTATACGTGGATGAATTATTCCCGGTGATTAAGGATATTATTTATTTTCAATATTTATTTAACATATCTCGATAGCTTAGGGCTGCCCCTCTAAGTTATTCCGGGGCTACATTGCCCTCTGTGTATTTCCTATAAATTCTTAAATACCCCGCAAAAGATTACCTAAATATAAGACCTTTTGAGGCTGTGACTTTGATTTCAGCATGCCAAAATCACCTTAACAACACCTGGCAGAGCGCCGGCGCAAAAGGGTCTCGCGCCGGGGCCCTGCCAGGCGAAGATTGGCGGCTGTTTGCCTGTCTTGTCGATTCATTGCACTCTTCTTCAGCCTTGAGTCTGTATTGGCGACATGATTGAAAAATGTGATTGTTACTGATCATACAATCAAACAATCCAGGCAACTGGCTGTCCATTCCTCTACACAATTTCCTTATTATGATATTATGAATATATTGATGACTACTTGAAGAAACCCCAAGACCAGTAACGCGGACGCTATTGCCTGGTTTACAGAAATCGTACTGGAAGATACAGGGAATTAGTTGTGTTTTATGACCCAATCTCACGGGCTATTCATTATGTTAGCACTGGCAAGAGTGAATGGAAAGATTGTCGGGCTGGGGATCCTTGGATATGAACAATCAATGTAACCAATCGCCGACAAAAATTACTTCATCATTCAACTATATATTATAAACTGAAGCATTCTCAAAAATCGCGGTTCCCCGTGAAGAAACCTCAGCAGCCGAGCTAACTGAATCCCGTTAAAAACCTTCCAGAAGAAAATTCGGACAAAAGACTTCCCATGGAATACAGTTGGTTGCAAAAGTATTGCGAAATGTGCCAAATTCGCGTTTTTTACCCGTTCGCAGGTCCCCAGGTGCCCAGGCGTGTGGTCAACAGGTGTCTTAACTGGTAATTACTGGTTCCAAACATGGATGTTATCAGTGCACAATTGGTATGATGTGGGTTGAACTGTCCTCAGATGTTGTGAAGTGGCTCAATAGATCTTGACATTGTATAATCAGATTAAGTTACTGAATATTACTAGAAGTATCAGAAGATCTTGAAAGAACTCAGAATGTAGTAACTGTAACAAAATGATCACTTACAAAGATGTTCAGTATGATGTTGTAAGATGATGAGTGGTCATACTTTTCTACTATCTGATTACTACTAATAAGAATCAATAAGAAGTTACATTAACAGTGATGTAGATTACATTCATCTATTCTGCTGCATTACTTCAATGTTGTTGTCAGAAATATTCATTATTTAGTTACTACTAATAGATGTCAGTGACAAACAATATTAACAATGATGTAGATTACATCTATCTATTCTGCTGCATCACTTCAATGTTGTTGTTGAAAATATTCATTGTCTGATTGCTACTGATAGATGTCAGTGACAAACAATATCAATAATGATGTAGATTATCTCTGTCTACTATGCTGTCTATCACTTTAATGTTGTTGGAAATATTTCTTGTTCAGTTGCTACTGATAGCATATATCAGAATGCAGATATATTTGATATTTATTTGTCAAGATATTGTCTTATTATTGACATTCTAATTATATGCTTCTAGTTTATACTGATGTCTATCACTTAATCTGCAACATGGAGACAAGTACAGAGCTAGCATGAACATTTGATTTTGAATTTACATATGAGATTGATGAAGATGCAATAAGTGAAGATGATAGTCATTATGAATTTACTGTTGTATGTCTATTAAATGAGCTGCATGAGACAAGATACTAACTGTCATTAGTCAGATGTTACTGATAACAATTCAATACAATTGATTATTCAAGATAGATTCCCACAGCACTCAACAACTATGAAAATTGAACATGTTTAGTTTCTATCACAATATTCAAACACTGAGATATATGGCTACACATATTGTATGAACACAGAGAGAATGTCAACTGAAAATATTCAGCAACTATATTTAATGATATTTATTCAATGACAGCTGATGGTAACTGAATTTTACTGACATGAACTAGATACAATATGGACATGGAAATCAGAATGATTGCACTACATGACAAGCTCATTCTTCATTTCTTGATGTTTTATGCAAAGTTATTAAATATCAGTGTTCTGATGTCAAGATTTGTTCAAAAGCAAGACCAGAGCTTCATCAGATTGAACATACACATGTTATTAATTATGCACAGCTTGATATAGAAATAACAGAGCATCTATCAGAGCTTACTGATGAGACTTAATTAGAACTAGACAATATTTCTGATGAACATATCATCTGAAATTAATTTAAGTTCTGGTGTCAGTCACATCAAGAGACATGCAGTGAGTTGGAATGTTACAGTGATTAATTGTGCATTGACTGACAGAGACAGACATGATCAGATGCTATCAGTACTTACTATATTGATTGCAAGATCTGACAGAGAGAAGATGGAAAAATCCATTTTTTTCAAAATATATCTGCAGACTTAAATCAAGATCTTCTAAAACATCTTGTCAATGATTCAACTTTAGTTATACAACAATGTTACTCCCAGATTCTATCAGTTGCATCACAGATAAAACATTGTTGTATGACATTCTTTCATCTATTACTGTGTTTGGTTCTTATCAGTTATCATCAGCACATCATGATTGTCTTGGGGAGCAAACTATTACTACTCAGTCATGTGAAGTTGAATTTATTGTTGTGATTCCAGATCACAACACTTCATTCTGTCTGCTTTTCATCAGCTATGGCATTCATACTCATTCAGTACCATCACCAACCAAAGTTTCAAAACATCTAATTGATGATATTCAACATGTTATCTGATGGATTCATGACCCATTGTTGACAATTAGTAGATATCAGTAATGATCAGTGATTAGAACATGCTGACAATATAGAGCAATTTTTGAATCATTCTTTGTTTATTGAGTACTTGAATTCAGAAGAAGCAGATATCTCAAGTGATCTTCATTCTGAACTCAACAACCAAAATGTTCTGCAAGAAATTCTTCAGAAGAAGTAGTTATTACTACATTCTGCTGATCAAGATTTAAATGATATTCTCTCTTACTGATGACTACTGGTTATGTATGCTAAATACACAGTAGCACTTCAACTCAAAATGAAACTTAACAAGAAAAATAACAAGGAATATATCTGCAAGATCTACAATGATGGCAATCTGTTTATTGCTGTATTACTACTAAAAGAACAAGCTGAACTTCTAGTTGAATTCAAATTCTTTCAGATGGATATGACATTCTCAAAGATTATAGATGACATTAAGATCATTGACTTTGTGACAATGCATTCTTGTTTGAATCAAAGTATGTTAACTGAATATTTCTGATATCACCTGATCACTGCTGGTAAATACTAATCTGAATCACATGCATTCAGTAATAACCCTTGGCTGACTACTGGTTAATCAGAATACAAGTGCCATGTACTACAAAGCATTTAAACTGTTTTTCTATGAAGTGGAGATACTGCATGATAGAGAGATTGAATGAAAACACATTTATGATCAGGGCATTGAAGCTATTATAGTAGATATGTGTCTCAAACAAGCTTCTGATAATAATCATCTACTCTCAAAATGTTCTCACAGATACTGATTATATCTGGTAGGGCTAGATGGTTATCTTAAGAATCTTGATTCATTCCAGACATGGCAAGATCATGTTCAACATGTGCTGGCTTTCTGCCTTGTACATTATGCTCATGATGTTAATCAGACATGATCTGATATATCTCAGCAACACCTAATGGAATCAATATCACATTGTTCTAGTAAGAATGTTGTATGATGATCTCTTGATGAGTTGATTTGGAATTCAAACAGTAAGATATCTGAGTGGACAGTCCATAAAAAATCATCATGGATTCTAGCTGGACTTAATGGTGAATTTATCAAAATGAATTATCTCACATTTAAAAATCTTCAGAGAAATATCAATGCTATTGAGAGTAATCATCATCAACTGAATCTTACTGATATCAACATTCCAATCATCTCTGCTGTTGAAGAGTATGTTTGTATTTCAAGACATATTCTATCAGACACACTACTGATATCATCCAGATGCTACCAATTGAATGTTGGTGACATTTGACAGTTAAAAACATTTGAAGAGACTGATGTTTGATCTGAATATGAAGATCAGAATGCTGAGCAACAGACTTATAGAAGTAATGTCAATGGTAGAAACTAGTAACTATTGGTATAAATCACTACAAATCATATGGATATTAACTGTCAATAGCCAATTGAAGATGTGCAGTCTGTCAACAAATCAATTCTACAACACCAACATGGAGCAACATGAACTCATTGGTAATTACTAGTAGATCTAGCCCTAGAAGAGATCAAAAGTGATGGGCAGATACTATGA